CGGTGCAATCCCTGTTATACATTTTGAATATAGACGGACCTCATATGCCTGACATTTCTTATTGGTGAAAACCCAGACGCTTGACGTCACAAACAATGTCGGCCCGAGTTAACAGATGTAACGCTAGACATAAACTGATAAGACATTCACGGACTACAGTTGAGTTAACTTAGTACTTAAAACATGATCAAATAACAAAGATTGGGTAATAATTTTAAGTCGTTTTAAAAAAATGAATGAAAAAAGGGAAATAATAGGATTTTTTTAACAGTAATGTAGTGTTGGGACTGGTCAATTGACCACGTCTTAATTGTTTTAAATAACATCTTGCAATTGTATCATTATTTAATAATAATATGTATTTTATGATGAATTATTATGAGTTTGTGATGTCTAATTTACCTCTAACCCTCTTCAAGGAATACCCGAATAGAATACAAATTTCATGGTATTTTTAAAATTATTTCAGTCAATTGACACACCGAATTTTGACCACAACCCTATATGAATATTCTTCTTCTTCTTTGACACCTTTCTAATAATTTCAATCTATTTAAATTTAAATTCAACCATAAAAATTTTCTAAAGATATATTAGCTAGTAGTTATAATAAAACTTACGCACAAACCTTTTAAGTAATCATTCGAACAAACGTAGATAAAAAAAACACTCTTTCAAATCAAATTAACGAAACGCGGCATTTCCAAAACTTAATTTGAATTCCTCATCTCTTCCGTGCACACGTTATAACATAACTGCAATATTCATGAAATAATTAAAACCGTGCCGCTTAGAAGTTTCGTGGCAAAACGGTGCGCGAAAAGCCATAATGTGACAAACCGCCTTCCAGTTGTAATTTGGAAGCGTCATACTGAAGATGTAAACCGGCAAAAAACTGCCGAGCGGGCATTAAAATTCCGACAAAATGAAAATGCGGTAAGTACAAAGTATTCTCGCGACAATTAGCGACTGGAAGTGTCTTTGCATATAATTTTAATTAAAATCGCGCGCACCTTTGCCCGCTTCTTTCCATTATGGTACGCGAGGTAAAGGTTCAAAACCGACTTAGTTTAAAACAAACGACGATAAGCGTAGTGTAACAGATTTTCGTCTAGAATATGACGTGGTGGTAGATCAAAAAATTAAGGAACGATTGTGTTATTTTATTTTTGAAACCTCATAAATATTTCGAAATACATATCTGCATTACAACATAAACCAGTTTTTATGAAAAATATCGAATAACTAAAACAAGATATGTGATAATTCATTTCGCAATATATGAGTTTATTGAATTGTTTGATTAGGCGAAAACATTGTTTGTTTCTCTTAGACCCAATTAATTAATTGTCTTTTTCCTTCTGCATTCCTGCACGTACATGTTGTACAATTTTACAAACTAACAAACGAAATTACTAAATATGCCACTGACCAAAAAATCACTGTTATTGTAGTAGTGTTCTGTGTAGCTTTTGAATTTATAGAGGCATACAACTCGTAAAAAATATATTTTTTAATTTTCTAACCCAATTTGAAACACGTCCGTCCCTACCGACATAATCAGTTTGCAACATAAAAATAATTAGCAAAATCAACGACTTCTCGCCCAAATTCTAATTGATGTAATTTGTATTACAAAAATCAGGCTTTACGAACTGAAAGAAACCATAGAGGTCTGAAAGAGAAAAAAACAACACATTTAGTGCGGGAAGCGATGACGTCACTAATAATAATTATAGCTTAAGTTGTAATATTTTATTTTGGCTCGATTTTAAAAACTATATACCAATCTTTATCAACAATGTTATATTTACACGAGGGATAAACCGCAGAGGAATTATAGTGTACAGTAGTATGATTATATGACACCCAAATAATAAATAATATGGCTTCATATAAATTAAATATCGTACTATTGTCAAATATTGATATTTTGCTTCACGATATAAACTTTATTAAGAATATAGTAATTTATTATTATTGTTAATTAATTACCTACTTGTGTATGAACGGCAGAGGAATTATAGTGTACAGTATGATTATATAACACTCAAATAATAATATCGCTTTTTTAAATATAAATTAAATATTAATGAAACATTGTCAAATATATATTGATATTTTGCTTCACTATATAAACTTTATTAAGAACATAATAATTTATCATTATTATTGTTAACTAATTACCTACTTATTTTAAATGTTTGGGGAATAATATATACGAAATTTATATACGAAAATACTAATAATAATCACATTTTTTCCATTATTTAAACGATTTATTATATTATATATAATTTTTATTTAAAATACTTAAAGATGCATTAACGTAACTCGACAATTGGGTAATTACCTATCTAAACGACCAAGTTGAAGTACCTAGAGTTTGTCTTTAGGCATAAATCCTCGTTTAACTTATTACTGGTCAAGACTGATACCGTACGACAAATTGGTCTTCGTATGATAACAATCATGCGCAATTACACAAAATTTACATTTCAACAAAGAGATTTTTCCGAGTTGGTCCTCTTTTTTTTGCTTTTTAATATTTGCAAATAAATTCTAGGCTTTTTTAATAACTACAAACATGTCCACATCGTTCACTCAAGCATTCCACGAACCGCTTGATCTGGACCCGTTTGGAATCTTATATTATCGCAACCTCAATCGAAACTTTCGCAACAACCGATTTCAATGATTTCAAATTATGTGAAAACCTTCCCCGCAAAACTCCAACACATCCTCAATAACAAGCGCCGGAACCGCTCGTGATAATGGACATCAACCGTGGAGACGGATATCGGGATATCATTCGCTCACGCAAACACGTAAACAATTTAGTTATCGAGGTCGCTCGGTGTTGGTCTTGGGCCGTTATCTCAACATAAATAATTTATATTATATATATGAACCATAGGGACGTAATTGTGCAACATCACCCAGATCAACGGTCGCGTTGGTATACATAAACGAGGAAACAAAGCAAACTTGTCTCCAAGCCGGCTGAAAACGAATGAAAAAAATTGTGCGTGCAAATTTCATAGAAAAAACAAACATGTTCTAGTTTCGGCAATTAACAACTAAAAATAATTAAAATGGTTTCAAGGATGGTATTCAAAACCGGCACGGAAAAACATGCCGCCACCGAACCTGTTTAAACCTGAACCGAACGAGTAGAGACTTCTCTCGACGGCCAATGATGAGCCTTTTGAGTCTACGCTAAGTAATTCTTTCGCATATCGAGTCGAACAGGTACGTGTGTACCTTTTTGCTTGGTTTTCTGCTAATCCTGTTCTGATTCATATTTATTATGCATAGCATAAAGCGAGAACTTTGATTTATTGTTAATTAACTGCGGGTAATAGGGAAGTGCCGCGAGTTATTGCGCGTTACTGCTTTGCAAATAGCTATAATTCGAGTTCAAACTTTCGTGCAACGATTAGGTAGCGACGAGATTATCAACGCTAGGAAGTAGATCTATAGCATAAAATACTACCCCCTAAATAAAATACTCGAAAAAAATTGTAGGTCACACACGTGTACAATATTAAAAAATACGTAGGGACATAATAGACTCTATTATCTACCTGCTCTGAATCACATACCTATACGTCATTTCAAATTTCAACCCCAGCGTGTTTGGTTAAATAGCTACCTGGATGTCTTAATGTTATCAATCCATGGAGACTTCTATTAAAAATTATCCCAACTCCCATGCTCTTTGTACTTATTCTAACGAGTGATTTATTAGGTTCAATTATACCCGAAATGTAAAGAGAGAGAAATAATCTGAATCCTAGTCTCCATACCATTGCTGACAATCGGTGGGTCAAATTTGTCACAATATTTCAAAATCATTAATATTTTAATACAAGTAAATTTTCTTGGAATCTTATACGCACAGTACAGCTATTATAGGAGTTAAACAGATGCACTCGAGATGCAGTTTTACCACTGTTTGGCTGGTTGACGCTGTTTGGCGTTTATAGACAAATTTTACTTACAACTCCCAAGTTTACAGTTGGTAAAGATAAATTATAGTCAATAATTCCATTTAAATTAGAGAATATAGTTAAAAAATTCAACGTTTACACTGTGTGTATAAAATTCCGTATGTTATGGCCAGACTAAAAGAATCTGATTTTTCTTGTAATAATCCATTCCAAATTAAAATAGGATTGTGAAAACTGCCTGTAGTGTAGCTCTAATGTCTTGAAAACTGATCAACTAAACTGACGTGGCTTTTACTTGACGAAAATCCATTTAACAAAATTCACTTAGAACAAAAGAAAATGTTCAGATTTTCAGTTATTTATTGGTTTATGACAGCTGTTTCGGCAACAGCGGGCTATCAAAATTAAAAGCGATTGCGCTTACGAGAACGCTGATTATAATTATCATAATTGAAGGCTGCTGTCTCTATTATTGCCATATTCTTAGTAAGTACACATTGCGACATATTTCGCAAAATTTACGACTAATATGGATATAAACTTTATATTACAAATTATTTGTATTAAAGGATTCCACGAGTAGGTGTGGCTCATTACTATTTATTATACTTAATAAGAAAACAGAATAAATCGAAAGTGTAGATATGATCCCGTCGTTTCTAAATGTACAACGCGAGAACAGTATAGAAAGTCTTCCCAAAGTTGTAGGACCTAGTATTGGAATGAATAACAATGTTTTTATTTGTGTTTATGAAGCACATTTAATCCCACTTCATAGTCGACGAAGGTCAAAATGTTATTGTAAAATTATTGTTTCGAAAAGTTAAATAAAAGTGTGGCTCATCTTTACGTGACGACCGACTCATTCAGGTACCAATTCTCAAGTTCGATATTTTCAATGTCTCGTGTCAAATGACCAATCGCACAACTACCACTCAGACGGTGTGTAATTTAGCACGATTTGGCGAACACAAAATAAAACCAAACCTGCAACAAGGCCGAGCGGGTGACCTATACGTCCCCTATAAGCGTTTATCCAACCCTTACCTTGCAAACAAGTTCCTCCCTCGTGTGAATGTTAACGCACCGGTACAGCGAACTACCGATCACTTGTTCGTGTACTTCGTACTTGTCCGCGACCAAAAGCGGCCGATATTTACTACCGTCACATTCGTAAGGGTTGTTTGTTTTCGCGAAAGGAGCCCTTTGGGTATCCCTGTCACTCACTTTCGGCACACGTAATTCCACATCGGTATTATCCCGCGAATGGCCACTAGGTAAGCGGATTTCTTTCACCTCCGCGTCTCCTCCCGAGGTACCCGGCTCGCCACTGGCCGCAACCTTATCAGTATTCTGCAAAAGTCTCATCGCAGGCGACGCCAAATCCTGAACTTTCTGCATCGTTTTTTCAACGGTGGACACTGGAAAAAATATGAAAGCGTAAACGTTAAAGCCACCCGAAAATGACGCGACGCTCGCGAAAATTGCGACAGAATGTTTTTTTTCTGTCGTTATTGCAAAGGTCACAAAAAGAATCGTAATTAGTTGACATTGGCGATCCGACGACGTAAACTCACCTTGAGTGATACGCCGCGTGGAAGGAGGTCCTCGGGAATATTTCACAACGTTTTTTTTTACGAGTCAGAAACCAGTTACCAGTACTAATATATAGTATTTACAGTAATTTACACAAACAACGCACAGCCATAAGCGGACATGCAGCTACACCGCACGGCTGACATGGCACGTCTGATTTTGGCGGCGGCCTTTAGACGGGAGAATTTGATGCGGACGCCCGCGACGTTGCCAGCTTCATTATAAACTCCGATTCGCTACGGAAAACTTCCAAATTATTTTTAATTACAAGCGAAATTTTATTTTAAATATCTTATAGTAAGTGTGTGATGCTCGTGCTAAATTTTCGTTTTTATAAATGTGCTAAAAAAGTAATTAAGGTAGAAAAAGTATATTCGCCAACTTATGACTAAAGGATCGTTTATAAAACTTGTTTCATAATAATAATCTATTAAAACTTTAAAAGCAATATGTAGGCATACGAACCACAACAGATAAAACGATTGTCCTGTTGTATGTATGTATGTATGTTGTAAATGTTTTATTCATTGGAATGTTGATACATGAAAATTTTTTTTTCGAAGGCAAAAAATTCGACTTTTTCTTACGTCTTTGGAAATCGCACTAAATTTGCGAAAAATAATACTTCCTATTGATAATACTTCATTGAAAACCTAAAATAAACTAGTACCTAATGCAGATTATCGATAGAAAATGAGATAAACACGAAACCACCACAGGACAACTCAAGAGAAATGTTTATTTAACTTATTTGTCCTTTTCGGCCAATAACTTTAAAGAGGACGTGAATGATCTGGCAACTGTGTTTTCGGACGATCCATGCTGAGACGAACGACTACATCGAGACAGCGACGACTGGCGACGCGACGCTTAGCTTTTATTTGGCGAAGTAATGAGAAGAAAATTGCGGGGAAAGTATGCGGCTTGTTTGGAATGAATGACTCCTGCCAATAACAATTTAATGAAACACCCACCCTCCAAGACAAGTGGAGTCGTATATTGACGGATGGGTTTTCCCCAATGAGAGTAATTTAATATTGACCTATGAACACGCATCGGTACGGTTTTGCGTTACTAAGTTACAAATTAATTTCGATTTATGATCGAACTACAGTATAACACGCCAAAGAACGCGTCTATAAATTGTAGTTGTCGTGTGGTAATTTATAAAATATAAAAATGTTAGTTGTGCAATATTATTATCATTTTATCAAGATAAAACTACATTTAACGGCAATTTGCGAATTCCCAAAATCACTGTAACAAGAGTGTGTGTTAACCAATAATATCCAGCACTAAAGATCACAAATATCCGCCTAATTGTTAGTGAAGAAATAAGGGTCAAAACAAAATTGTAATAAATGATATAACGAAAATAATGATGACTGATGGTATACGAGCTAAAGACGAAACAATATGCACCCCTTATTCCCCGTTAAGAACCACTCATCATCTGGTGAATATTCAAACATAGAATTTTTCTTTTCATTGTAGTATAACTGTGTCCAAAATTATGTGGTTATACATTATGCAAATATTTCAATTTGTGATTTTCTGACGATAATTTAGTTTTTTGATAAAAGCGAAAAATATTTTCGAACATTAAGGCGTATATTTCTTTTTTTTTAATGCAGAATGACTGCTATAAATGCATAAATTATTTGCAGATATTTTTTTTCTGTTACGTTCACTAAAGTAGTTACGCGAAGAGCATCCATGTTGAATATTCCCACACAATCTTTTCTCGATGCTCCTGGCGCATAGATAATAAGGCAATTTAAATGAAGAAAGGAATTCGCAGAGCGCCGTACACTAGGAAAGAGCTGACAATGATGTTAAAAAATAACTATATAATAAATTCTTTTAATTGGGAAAACCACCCTTTGCCAAATTATTATCTGACAACCATTATAAAAATTAAGCTCAACTATGCTTGGCGCACAAAAGGCAGATAAAATTTTACATCCCTCTCGTTCTGTCTCTTTAAGATGTCAATAGATGTAGTTACGCTTCAGCTACCAATTTGACAGTACTATGTGACCAATGTGATGCATCCGTGTTTTTATTTTTTAAATATATTCTAATTTTTGGCAATATGCAATGTTTTGCATTGCATTGAAATGTTTGGCAATGTGGTGTAATTTTGTGCAATTAAAATTTTTTCCAAAATAATTGCCATGTCATTTTTTTTACGGCTATCTAAAATTTTGATCTTACCGTGATCCGCAAACATTAGGTACACGTACACACTATATAGACCTTAACTATTCTATGCCACAAGTTACTTGGTAGAGTGTTTTGCACAATTAAGATGGAGTGACTATTGCTAAGTAAGTATTGAATATAGTAAGATGCATTTGTCATTCGTCAGTTGCACTATGCACATTTTAACGATTCAATTAATTTCGATTGTGAATATCGCTAGACGCAGTGGTTTAACCCAAACAGCATTTTTTTATTAAACTGCAAAATACTTCTTTAATTCTCGTTAATGAATGCCGGACAGTTTTTCAAATCACTTGTTATACTAGGAGATCCACTTTCATACGTGCGAAAAGTGTCACTTTAAGACGGTAGCTTTGTTACCCATGGAAGCGAGCCACTTCAAAAATTTCCGATACTTTAATTACGGTTTTGGTTGGTGTTTTTGATAGATTTTAGCCACTTTAGCTAACGTTTGTTGATTCTGGCAGTCACATCATACACGTTGTTTTGCAAAAATGTACCTAAAAGCTAAAAGTTTTAGAAAACGTATGGTATGCCAACAGGTTCATAATCTCCTTTACTCACTCTTTGATTAAGCACTCGTTCAGCTCTTAACTGAAACAGTATTTATCAAACCTGTTTGATTATATGCCATTAAAGATAGAAAAATGTAAATTCCTCAGGCTAGAAGGTGCTCGAAAACGAAAAGAACTAGGAAATTTCCGTTTGTGCTATTCTTCGTTACACAAGGGTACCACAATTATAGCGAGAACTGCATTGTTCTACCTTTAAAGGTCATAAAAGTGTTGAAAATGGGAGACTCCGTACATATAGTTAAAATTGCAAAATAAAAAATTCGCTCTGGCTCTGGTAGACGTTTGCTGGTTTATTATGCTTCAGAGATTGACCTCGTCTACAACCTTGATAGACTTGTAAGTTCGTCGGTAAAATCAATGTCACTATGGGGGTACCAGCATAATCGTATCACCAGGATCTGTTGATCACAGTTCTATGGTTGAAAAGAAATAGCTCGTATTATTATCAAATAACGCTGCAGAAAAGTTGCAAGAAAAATCAATTTACAATTTAATTTTTTTGTAGTTTGCGATCTTATTCTCCAGAGTAACTGCTAGAAATAACAAACTAACCAAAACTAATAATACCAATCAATAATAAGATATATCTTTTTATTATTTTTAACTAGATGTAATCTTTTTTTGTAATTTATATTTTCCTTATTACCTTAAAGAAAATTATGTCAATAATGATTTCAAAGTTCCGGAAATAATTTTCGAATTATAATTGTTAGTCATATTAAAAGACGTTGCCAATCTATTCAATCCAAATCCACTAAAAACTTATCATGATTAATATGTTAACATTGATAACCTTGAACTTTTAACAATTTAAAAAACATTGACTAAATAATTAGAACTTAAAATATATAGTACTGAAACAATAAAAAATGTGGTATAAGTAGATAATATATAATCCTATGCCATACGATGTTCAATTCATTTATTTCATAATCTTTTGCAATATCAGGCTTTATTAGTGAAAAATAAAGCTTAAGTAAACGGAAAATATTTGGCAAACAACTTATTTGTTTGTTACTTGTTTGCATGTAAATAATTTCGTCAAAATCTGAATAGTAACAAACAAATTGCACCGGAATAAGCCGTCTGAACTTTGGTTTAGTCAACAAAATCTGAATGTCGAGAAAACGTCCACAAAATGTAATTTGTGGTTATCATTGCTATATGTTCAGAAAGCGATCAACAATATTTTCACACGAAAATCAATTTAGAACCTAATATGCCGACATTTCATGTCGCGTCGGCATGTCGGGTCATAATTCGATGCTCCGGGGTTGAAAAATAAGAGACGAAACTAATCAGTCAGTAACGCAACATCAAAAATACCAGTAAGCAAGGTAAGATTAGGTAAATTCCTAGTCAGTTTGATTTTAAATAGCAAAGAAAGATCTCAGGGCAAACATTTTTATGTAACTATTTTATGTAAAATATTATGGGCCCTATTAAAAAATTGGTTTTGTTCTATTATAGTGGCATAAGCTTTAAAAATAAAGATTTTGGATTTGGTAAAAAAATGTTTATAATCCAATATAAATTTTTATATATAAATATTATACAATGTATACAATAAATATATGTGAAAACTCGACACAGAATACTCTTTTACTTCCTTTTAACATAACCTGGCACTAGGTTTTATTAGTTATATTTCTCTACACAAAAACACAAAGGCTTTCAGCAAATCTAATATTTTGAAAAAATACTGGTCAGGTCATCGTGCCCTGCAAATAGTCCGGTTTTGGTTTGAGTTATTGTCAATTGTGTAAATTTAATGGTATTGCGAAAATAATTAATAATAAACACCTGTAATAAGTTACCGCTTGGAATATTTAAACTGTAGGCTATTCAATTGATATTTTAATACAAACTTAAATATTTAGTAAAAGCAAAACGCAACTGAGTGAAAGTTTAACATATTGTTTATTGGAGGAGCTTTGATTCGACTTGTTATTAACATATAACTTACTCGATTTTTCCAAGTGGCAAATTTTCGGGCAAACAGATTGGTTTAAACAACATTTAATACGGGGCCGTCGCAACATCTAAAACATATACACGTTGTGTCCCACACACAAAGGCATCCCGTTAAAAAAAATAAAGAACATCTGCTCCGACCTTTTGTCAGCCTCAACCACCGAGCGGAGACTTGTTTTCGTTCTGCAGAGATGAGGGATGGTGTTTTGGTGGGTGGCAAGCTGCAACAGGCTTCTTTCTCTCCACCTTGCCTGCTGCTGTCGGTCCTTGCGTTCTTACCTGACTTCACTAAACCCAACGGGTGTATAAATAAGATATATCAAGTGTTGCACGTAGGTTTTGGCTCAATTTTATCACCTCGTTTATTACTTTTGTGCTTATATTGCCTCAGTCGGTATTTGGATTGCAACAAAATTTATGTGTTTATCGAAGTAAAGTACATTGGGTTCCTTTTTTTTGTTATAAACGTTACTATTTCACTGAGTAGATTCTACCTAGTGCAACTGTTTCTCTTCGCTTTCAATTTCAAACTTTTTTTTTACTGCTATTAAATTTGATCGATGAAGTTATGGAAACATTTGATCATTTTAATACTGTGTTCATGAGTCATCTTCTGAAACTGCTGCTTCGAATCCTCCATACCAGAATATTCAAAAAGTTGGAAGATTTGAGTGAGGAAACGCAGTTCGGGTTTCAAAATGGCTTTGGTACAAGAGAGGCAGTATTCTGTAAGGTAAAGATGTGCATCTACTATCTGTCGATTATAAAAAGGCATTCGAGAATGTCAGACATGATGTACTCCAGAAATTGCTCCGTAATTGATGATAAAGATATTCAGATAATCCAAAATCTGTATTGGAATCAAACAGCTCTAATCAGACTAAAGGGGGAGGCTGCTACAGAGGACTTTGAAATACTCAAGGGCATTCCCCAAGGAAAGCATATTAACCGATGCTGTGGACGAAATTGATTATGGAATTAAAGTAAATGTCATTCCAATTAATAACCTGCGCTATGCCGATGAGACTGTCATAATTGCTCATAACAGCGAAGATCTACAAATGATGCTGAATAAAATAGACAGTGTTGGAAAAAGTACAGACTTGAATATAAACATCGCGAATTTGTAGTACACAGCAAGCAAAGAAATTAACTATATATATTAATACCGCAGTTAATCCAACAAGGAAACAGGTATAAATAACACTGGTGAGCTTTGTCACGCTGCTATCAGTAGAACCTTGCCTTTGAGATAAGCTAACAAGAAGAATACTGCATTCAAAACTGAAAAGCATGTCCACTTCCCTGTCCCGAGATGAATATATGGGATACTTGGGGTATAACTGTATTGTGATGGATGGGCACCGTCACAATGAACGAGCACTAACACTTTGCGAGATTTTGTGCAATATTAACATGTTTTTGTACCATATCTCTAGATCACCGTTCGTAATTTACAAACCATGATTTCAGATGATGCCTGGCCTACCTGATATCCCTATCAATTCAGTAGGTTCAGGAATTGTTCCTTAGGATTAGGATTAGAAGTTTAGAAGACTGCATGGATTGCATCGCATATCACTTCTACAATATTTTTGGGTTAAAAAAAAACAATAATAAATTAGTTTAATTTAGGGTTACATTGTCATGTCAATAATATCTAGATAAAATATTTCAACAAATTTAGGTACTCATTCTATTTCGACAATTTTCATCCTAGTATTCCTTAAAATATTTCTGCAAAACTTCCTGACTCTATTCGCTAGATCCTGTGCCTCGACGTTATTGGGATCCCGTTCGATTACCACGCCAATGCAATCGAATGCTTCCTCGTATTGGGCCATCCCCTCCAGAGCTTGGGACATTTGCAATAACGCTTTAAGATTTTTGGAATCGATGGCGAGTACTTTTTTACAGTCATCGTAAGCTTCCGGAAATCTTTTCAGCTTTAAGTAAGTCAACGCCCGGTTATTCAAATTTATTATGGTGGGGCTACCCGAAACACTGTTGGTGAAGCACTGCAATGCTTCTTCGTAGTCTCCGGATTTAAAGTACTCCCTACCTTTATCCATTTCGCGATTTGTCACGAATCTAGCTTCAGCGTCGGTTTGAAATTCATTGAAAGTAACCTGAGGCACGATTTTCGACTTTTGAGATTTGAACGCAGACTTGATACGTTCTTCTTCCAAATCCATTTTGCTAATTTCTGTATCCGGGTCGTATCTGTCCCATGCTCTATAGTCAGTGGCTTGGATTGTTTTCTCAATTTTCTTAGTTAGCTTCAAAGGTTGTGTTTCGACGTTGTTCTTTCGAACTTCGACACAGCAACGAGTTGCACTGCCTGTCATTTGCGTCAATTCCTGATTGGCGTCTGACACTGTCGATAGCCAGTTTTGCAAATCGGTTGTTATAACGTCAAGTTCGTTGTTTTTTAAATCGCCTTTTTGTAGTAGAGATGAACTTACTCTTAAATGCTTACTCGTTGGCTTGATTTCACGTAGTCGGTCCTCACTGGCTTTTAGTAATTCGGGGTAATGACCCTCCTCGCCAGATAAAAGCACTTGAATTATTTTCTCCAATTCGTTCGCGTTTGTAGTTTCGTTTACGTAGTTGAAATCGAAATGATTTATCGGTATTTGGTATTTTTCAATCAAACTTTGAGTATGTTTGGGTGGTTTGGAATTGCTGTCCATGTTGTTGCTCGGGCAACTGTCGAATTTTTTATCGACTAAACAGAGCGTGGCAACCAGTTTTTACCATAGCAACTATATTTCCTAAAGTGAGATCTGTCCGCCCACAATTGCAGTTGGTCAAACTACTTGCAGCAATTAACTGGGGAAAATATACTTTCCGCACGAGTTAGGAGTGCTAGTTTATGTAGAACATGCGGAATACACAAGGACAAGCGTATAACGTTGGTTAGTTCAGTTGCCGTTTGGCGTCAACGGCATAAAAAGGCTAATAAAAAAAACTCACTAATCAAGATTTAATTCCACTCCTGAGCGCTATTTTGCTCTTTCTTGAGACCTTGGCAAGCATCAAGTTTTATGTCTCGGATTTACATCAATAGAGAATAATTAGATGTAATCATAATATTTGATATTTTGTTCACTATTTTTGCAATGGTGTATCGCAACTAATTAGTAAAAGAATAATGGTAAGCAATCTTTGTTTGTAATAACATAACACCCAATAATGCTTTATTTTCAAAAACCATACATTTAAATACAATACGTGAGAGCAAAAAATTCTCTTGGATTATTTCATAAGTCACACCCGGAACAAGTGGTAAGATAACCTAGACGAAAGCACATGGTTTCCAATTCCTCTGAGTTTGACTGTCTACAGTTTCCTCTGATAATTTGATAACATCATCGGTGAGTAATGGAACTTGTAAATTTTCGTGATTTCTCATAGCCGCATTTGCCAGTTTTATCATCGCTTCATCTATAAAATAGCTGGTCATCATTACTCAAATAATGGACAGGTAAAATTAAAATAGATATTGACGAAGTCAGTTAAAAGTCAACTATATATTCTTATAACAGAGAAATTTTCTTAAGACAGCGAAATGATTTACATTTATTTTAATAGTTAACAATCATCATCGAAAAAAGGAACAAAACTAACTAATTATTACCAATTAGTAATTATAACTAAGAAATAGCTGTTTCCTTTTCTATTTCCTTTGGCTTGGGTGACACCCCTATATACACCCCTAAAGAGGGAAGAGGGAAGGTACGAATACTAAATATTTCCATTGTTAAGATTTTGTCTCCGGACTATTGTGAAATTTTCTGCTCATTGTATATAGGAATAAACTTGTAGTCAGATTAACTTAATGGATAAATTTACAATCCCTCACCTACTTAAGTTAATTAGAACAGGAAATCGTTTTACTCCCAAAATGCTGTCTCATTTTCATGGTAAAGCATTTTGTAATAAACTTAAGTGGCTTAAGATTGCTATCGTAAATGTAATCTCACCTATTTGAATATTGCTTTTGGCTGACGTTATAAACCAATAGAGAATATCATTTTCCTTGCAGAAATCGTCGATTTGAGGTGGAAGGGTTTCTGTGCTTATATCTCCTTTATTTGCAAATAACACTATGGGAATTCGTAGTCCGCCCGGTAATTGCACTTTTTGTCGTAGATCTTTTAACCACTGCAACATATGTAGTTATTTTTTTAATTGAAAACCAAACTAGGAGGTTAAATATAACTTCGAATTTTGCTATAATGTCATCAAAAATACATTCGAAACCTATAAAAAATTAAAACCAAGCTAAATATTGGTACATTGTCAAAAAAATAAATATTAATTTGTAATTTATAAATAGAGATAAAAATCACTTGTGCGATCTCTAAAAAATTCGCCAGGCATCCGAACTCTCAAAAATATTACCTTCAAAATTAATTTAGCAACTTGTGATGAACTCATTAAATTTATTTCATCGTGTTAATAACGCGATGTGGTATGGAAAATGTTATGAAGTTAATTTCGCAATCTTTATTCAAATATCAGAAGGAAATTTCTTTGTGGTGTTGACAATGTTGTTTAATGTTTTATACTGGAGTCTGGTTTTCCGTCACTAACCAACACTTCGACATGTAAAAGTAAAAAATAATCGTGTGTTCATTTTCGTAGCGTCCGCTTATTGCTATTAATAACAATTATAAAGGAATTACATTAGGTACTAGGTATATTATATTTATTAATAAGTTTACCTTAACGATATTGTTGTATGTTTCTGGCCGCGTAAGATCAAAAACTAGCACCGCCGCTGCACTGAAACAAGACAACATTTATGGGTATGTTTCCTGTCACACGGATATTTTTATCAAAATAAGAACTAACGATATTTTTAGTATTCTACTTTAATTCAAATTAATTTAAATTAAGCCTATATAGTTTATTATAAGCTTTAAGCGGATATGGAAAAAATTAGATTTTTGCAATTTTTTGTATATGTACTGAGGCGGTACAATTGCTAGAGTGCACGCCAGCTGCAGGTAGGTATAGGTAGATATAAACTAAGGGCTATGACTCCTCAAATTTTCCAGGTTCTAACCTAAAAAAGGTTTTGTGTAAACCTGTAAAGACAGTTGCTAAACTTTTTACTTTTTACTTATTAGATCATCTATGGTAATAGAAGGGCTTGGGTAAAAATGTTCCTCAATTTTTAATAATTTTGACCATAAATTTTTTTTGACGTACTAATTTATTAGGAATTGTTTCTAATATCTATGTGGAGTTCAATGTGATGCAAATATAGTTGGTAGGTCTGGAGTCAAATAGCACTTAATTGTTTCAGTAGACAAAAAAGTTGTGGTGGAGTCTACTTTATAAGAACATTTATCTCTATTGCAGAACGAGAATGAACACTAATTTTGAAGCATCCGCCATACGTACGTGTGTCTGTAAAATACACTCGTCAAAGAACCAAATCTTGCCTGTCCGCATACGTCCCACAAATGGAGATTTACCCTGGTGACTTCATCCCATTCGAGGGTCTTTACGGCAAAATCCGCTCCTAATGTGGCTTTGTGAGTTGATGAAAACTGTGCTAAAATATATTTGAAAAAGAAAACGTGTAGTGTATAGATATTATGTAGCCAATTTATGCAAACTAGCCCAACTAAACTCATAGTTTTTATAGTTTCAAAAGATTGATTGAAATGTAGTGCCATCCCTCTGACATCTTTTAAACACTTGTAAAAGTGGAATCGAACTTCCAATTAATCAAAACATGGTCATAATATGTTTATTTTTTTAACTAAAACGAGTCGGCCCATGGAGAAAATCTGACTGCGTTTAATACGTAAGAAAATACCCCATGAACTGTTTCTTTATTTACGATCGGGCAAATAGTAGATGAGTTGATGAGAGATGATGGGAAGAATGCCTAAAAAACGAAATTTTCAATTTAACCCGGTCTAGTGATATCTAAGTGAGCAATAAAAATATCGAAAATGGTTTTTACATAACGCACACGTACCACAAAATCTTAGAAAATTAATTTCTTACAATGGAAAGATATTTTGTCAACTGATTTATTACCATGAAGGTCTAAATATATTCGATATATATTCATTCGCTATGAAACCAATTTCCCAATTAGAGATTGTCAAACTTCAAAAAGTAACTTTTACTTAATAGATAATATTGATAACTTACCACTTGTATATCTTTGAATAATCGAAGTTTTCCCTAAAATTTGAAAAATGAACTTACTTTTCCTAAAGAATTAAATATATATACAAATATTAATTTATTTACCTGAAAATGATTTTGAACATATTAGATTAGATTAGATTCACATGTTAGCAAAAAAATTTTGACATTTTTACATTATTTTATAATAACTACCTACCTACACCAACATCGCCTATGACAACAATTTTGAAATTAATTTCCTTCTTCTGTAATCTAGCAAGCCGTAGATGATCATTGATCGTAATTAATCTAGATAAACATATTCCTTTTCCGGTTTTCGCTTCACCGTTCTCATTCATTTTTTATTACTACATTTACTAAACTATTTACCAATTTTTGCGATACAAACGTGCGCTACTCAACAGCGAGCGAAAGATTAGTAAGATATTAACACCTGATTCTCTTACGTATTATGGCGCCAAAGTGATAAAATATGTATTTCTAAGTTTAAATAGACAATGGTACCACCTAGTGACTAATACACGAAGTAGATCAACGTGGATCACCCTTAGTTACAGATTTAATCATTAAGGTTTCTTGACGCACGCACACCGGTGGAACTGATTTGTAATATTGTAAATTGAAAAAGTTTTCTAGTGCCTGGTTATTATGATAATTTAAAGGGTTATAAAAGCTTATTCCGTATGTCTGGACTTTGCAAACCATATGTCATGATATTTCTCATTTTATCTTAGGTTCATGTTCATTTTCATTTGAAACAGATTTGAGTTATAAAACTATGGTTTAACTAGCACTCAAGATTTTAACTGAATCCGTAATACAGGTCCTACTACATTTGAATAAAATAAAATAAAATTAACCCTGGTTAATAACGTTAAATAGTATTTATTCTGTGGTAAATGCACCCCTCCGAAAAAAGTTTTGTTCTCTGGAAGCCTTGCAAATAAAATACGAAGATTGACATCAAATAATTACTATAGCCCCACGGACAGTTGTGAAATCTTCACAACTGTTTGTTTTTGTAAATGTAAACATTAGTTTAATATAAAATGGATGTTTTGCCAGGTATTGACTAGAACTTTTGGTTGAAAATTGCACGATAAATGTGTAGATCCATTTGATATCTAGTTCTAGAGTTGCTATCAGATTTCAAGAGATATGGGTATGGATTAAAATTTAGATAGATATATAGATAGATAATATTGTTGATTAATCGTTTGTTTCCGGTTATATACAAGATAACTTTATTTTTAGAGGGACTAAATGCAACCATCAAAAAGGGTCCAGGCCTATATGAGTTTCTCGTAGAAGCAGAACTTCAACATTACCTTAATAGTTTTAAGTACGCGTTAAATATTTGTTGATGGAATTTTGTGTTGCTAATTATATCCTATTTATTTTTAGAAATACTTTGAAGATCACTCACCCCTCTCAAATGAAGTTTACTACAGAGGGAGATCTTATGGATATAGGTATGTCCAAACCTGAAATGCGACGCTTGAGAAAATATTATGACAAACATTTTCCTCACAATTACTTATCGAAATTTAAAAAGTTGCTTACTCATCGCAAACAAGAAAATACATCTAGCGATGCTTGTTTGTTGATGAACTCAGAATCAGTGTGCTTGTCTAAAAGTCCCAAGGTATCCAGCAAACATATCATACCAGCTGCAAGTATAACAATTAATAAAGAACTTGGAATGGGGGAATTTGGAGTTGTCCAGCAGGGAGTGTGGTGTAATGAAGGAGAACGCATTCAAGTTGCAATAAAGTGTTTATCAAGGGATCGCATGCAGAGTAATATGGTGGAATTTCTGAAAGAAGCATCCATTATGCATAACATTGATCACCCAAATATTGTCAGATTTTTTGGTGTCGTGCTTCCCAATATTGAAGGAAGCCTTATGTTAGTAACTGAGTTGGCTCCTTTAAGGTCTTTATTGGAATGCCTAAAGGAGCCTTCACTTAGAAGCAGTTTCCCAGTGTTAACTTTGTGTGATTTTGCTTATCAAATCTGTGATGGAATGCAATACTTGGAAGCCAGTCGCCTTATCCACAGGTAAGTAAGCAAATTTTCATTCAGCTCTAAACTTAATGGATATGATCTGTGCTATTACCTTAAATGTTCTATTTAGCTTGTCTCATATGTTTATTTAAAAGTTCAAAACATTTAATTACTTTTCATACATGTTTTATAGAAGTATCAGACTGACACTTTCTTGTGTGGGGTCACTTTATCTCAAAATAATTATAAAACTGATAGTTTAGATAAAATATAGTGTAGAACAAGTGCAGTAGGGCTCATTAAAGTATTCGCATCTTGTTAATGTAATGAATACCACAGTAGTAATATACAGTGAGTCAAAGCAAAACTCATACACTGTTAAATAAATAAACAAAACCGCTATATTTATAGGTATTTATTGAGTATATGGTGCAAAAAATATTTTTAATATTTTGTTAGGTATAACAATGATAAATACAAATGTGCAGAAAAATAAATCATATATATTTTTTAATACATTGCCGGCTGCATTCTAGTATTCATAGAACGGATTTACCAAATTTTTCACAGGAACTGGGGTCTATGTTAGCGTATTCTTCCCTAGAGCTTTCTTTAGATCACAAATATTGAGTGTTAAAAATTTTTCCAAATGAATCCAAAGATTTTCAAAAAAATATATGAATAGTTTCTGAATTTCCTATTTTAAAATTTTCGAAGAATCAATTTTTCGAATTCGTTACATTTATTTATTATTTAAAATCCATTTTTCTTTTCTTATGATTTACTGCACACTGAACTGTAGCATGATTTCTATTTACCATTTTAGCAATATCTCGCAGATATTTTTGATTATTGTAATGAAAAATAATTAATTTTCGCTCTGTAGTTGAAGACATCTCTTTGAGGTAACATGTTTTCTTTATTATACAAAATAGGTGACAAACATTTTTTTGTATTTAAATAAAAGTAGCTTCGCAAAATAACGTCGTGTGCCTTTTTTAGTTAATAAAATATTCATTTTGAGATAAGATTTTTAAAATATTATTTAATTTTTTTATTAATAATTTTGTTGTTTTTTTATTTATGCGCATCTGTATCGTTCTTTCGTGTGCTAAATAATATATTAAAATAAATTGTTATTCTACATAGGCAATATAATCCACCAATTATAACTATTTTGTAAATTTCTTTAGATACAGTTTGACTCACTGTGAATAACTATGATTCGGATATATGTATATATTACCGCATTTACATGCATAATTGGTGAAACAAAACTGGGTTATTTTAAAAACCTTATGAATACAGAGTTGTTTAATAAACAGATAAATACACACAAATTATTATTTGCTCATAATTTATATTTCATATCTTCTTTATTTGAAGTCAGTTTTTTGAAAGCAACAATCCTAATTTTGTTGCAGTTAGGTATGAGTATTTGCTGTAAACAAAAAGAAAACAAAACCAATATTTTCCTCAATATTATATGAGACAGTTTTTTCTATTCATTTAAAGAGTAGGAACAATGCTCTAGAATTCTGTTCTTATTACTGACATATATAATTCACTATTTCAGAGATCTGGCGGCTCGAAATATACTTGTGTTCTCAAAAAACAAAGTGAAAATCTCCGATTTCGGTTTGAGTCGCGCTCTAGGTCAGGGGAAAGATTATTACCAAACAAATTTCAACGTGAATCTAAAACTGCCAATCGCGTGGTGCGCCCCCGAATGCATCAGCTATCTGCGGTTTACTACAGCTAGCGACGTGTGGGCCTTCGGCGTTACCTTATGGGAAATGTTTTCGTACGGCTTCCAGCCGTGGGCCGCATTAACGGGCCAACAAATTTTGGAAGCGATCGACGAGCCAAATTTTCAGAGGCTGGAACAGCCTGACTGCTGCCCCCTCGACCATTATAATTTAATGATGGATTGTTGGAGACACGAGCCGCCTACTCGACCCAGGTTTGCGGATATCGGACCCGTGTTGGCGGAGTGCCGGCCCGAACAAGTCCAAGCGAAAGTTTCCTCTAATGAGGGACCCCACATGTTGTCCTTTAGGGTTGGGGATGTAATCACTGTTTTGGATAAAAAGTGAGTATTTGTTTCTAATATATCAATTGGGTCTTTGCTAACTACTTAGACTATGTATTTTTATGCTTGCTTGCTTGCTTGTGGACACAAGTCATAATACCACATAGGAGAACCTAACAAGAAAATTTCAAAACGTCTATCTAAATTTGGTCTTAAGACTGCTTTTAAAACTGAAAACACCATAGGACATTTCTTAAAAAACAATGAAACTAAATTACGAAAAATTCAGTAATCCAGAGTATGAAAGTTTATATCGAACAAACGTAGAACATTTAAGAAACGCATTAACAAACATAAAGGGCGTATAAAAATAAAAGTTCCGATTCTAACTATGCCATTCATTTTAATTCAAAAATGCACAAGTTTGACGATAATTTTGTATATTACATAATCAATCAAAACGCAATAACCCAAATTTATTGGAAGCTTTCGGAGATGAACTAAATGAGATATTTAAATCTATTACTGAATGACCAATTGGATTGAAATGCGTCTGCGTTGTTAAATTAAACTTTATAACCCTATACCGGTTATTAATAGTATATTATGCAATAAGTACGGTAAACGGCATTTGACGTACGAGTTTATTTGACACGAGCGGAGCTAGTTTTTAATAAACGAGTGAGTTAAAAAGTTTACAGAACGTGTTGCATACCATACTTTTTCAAAGACCGTTCGTTTTTGGGTACATTTTCGCAAAACAACACTAATACATTCACTGACATTACCGTCAGAATTGACAAACGTCAAAATTCAAAGCGTGGAAATATCTCCGAAATCCGATCGCTCCCAAATCCGTGCGGTAAAATTTTGGAAATGTCCGAAATGGCTCGGATTTGTGGGAAACGAAATTGACGTGGTAAAGTGACGCTTCCCGCACTCTAGATCGGTGGGTAATTAGGTATTTTACAGACGGGAGTAGAAAACATCTATTACTACCTGTTTATATATATAGGTGTGGGAATACTGTTATATTTTGTATTTAATTAAGGTTTTTGCCGAAACAGCTGTCATAAATTATTAAATATCTATAAAAATCTGAACATTTTTTGTTCTAATTTAATAATGATTTTGTTGTTTCTGCAATACAGCTGCTGGCCAGTGTGGTAAATTTGAAAATTGAATGAGGAAGACGCCTAAGCTTTTGTATATTATTAGTAAATAACCAGTAAACATAGTAACAAAAAAAATTGTAAATTTCTTGAAGAGACCGACAGGAAAATGTACTAATAACAAAAATAAAACTGTCATCTCCATCTCTTCTATAAACAAAATAAAAAACTCTAATTTCTTTTGTTAGGACGCATACTCCTTTATGGAAAGGCGCAACGGCCAGCGGAAAAACTGGCGTTTTCGATCCCGCGAATGTTGTGGCGTACCTCGGTAGCGATTTACCTAGCTCGTCGTTTCTGAGGTCCGGTATGGATGCGACCAGGTCGTCGGCACGGAGAAAACTGAGAAGTGAGATGATCAGCGCCCCCCAAGGCGATTTCAAGCATACTGGACACGTGGGCCTGGATGGGGCGTACTTTGGCGATCTTAGTTTCTTAGGCGGATCTAAAGGAAACGTAAGTAGTTAATGGCCGCCGGCTATTATACTTTTTTGTGATTTTTTTCTTGGTTAAAAGAAATTATTCGTCATTAGAAAGTGGATAATATATGAAATTTGAATTTCGTTTTCAATCAGAAACTTTTTCAATTATCTCGAAAACTTGTATTTTCAAGTTGTGACTTCTTTTACTTACTAGTACGGAAGCGTTCCTACCCAAGTTGTCGCTCCATACCGGCCCCATAAAGACCTAGAAGCGGCTCCCCTTTTGGACAGCGATCATGTGCCTGCTCCCGCCCCTTTACAGGATCATGAGTATCATGAGATAAGCGATGAGGAGGAGACTAATAATAGTCCTCATTTGGATCTCGGTCCTTCGCTTATGGCCGAAATGGAGATGATGTTCAGCAATTTAGGAACGCAGAACCACTCCATGGATCACGAGGGTTCGAATCGGAGTAACGAGTTGAGGGAAAAATTGAACTGCAAGGGAAAGAAACAAGCAACGGTGAAGCCGATATCCGCGCACGATAAGAAGACGCTTGATACGGCGATAGCTCTGGCCACTGAGATCACAACAAGGTAGTTCTATTTTCATAAAGTTTTTAGATTAGGATAATAAGACAATAATGATAAAAGTTTAATTCATTGCTAACATGATTAAAACTACTAAATTTAAAAATTAGGTCCCTGTCAGCAACTGCCCCCCCAACCCCGGCCTCTCCTGGTAAGAAAAAGTTCCACTTCAAATTTCCATCAGTCCACGAGAGTGATAAACATTCAGAAAGACGAAATTTCTCTGAAGAAGCCCTTTCCACTTCGAATTTGCAAGTGAGCATTTCCATATTTTTAGGTCGCTTTTATTTCATTTTTAACGTGGCAATATTGGGGATCAATTAGAGATCAAGTTTTTGTAGATTTTTTGATTTTGCAATAGGAGATTGTTAAATTTCTATTCATTGTTCTTTCTTTATTTTACATGTTAGGACTAGTTAAGGCAGGCTGGAACACATAAAATTGTTTCCCAAAAATATAAGTAAATTTTTACAAAAGTTAGAATTCTGTGTAGTATCTGGATATGTATAGATTATTCCAAAATCTACTCCTAAAATAAAGATTGTATTCACATTTTCACAATTGTAATGGAGTAATTTTTTTAACAAGGTACGAAGCAGATAAAAATAAGTAAAAAAGTTCACATAAACATATGTCCTAAAATGCTTCGTTTTGAAGAAAGTGTTAAAATATTGCGAAAAAAAATTGTTATTTGTTATTTCAAAAATAAATTTTTAGATTATGCCTTCTGACTTTTAAGCATAGATAAACTTGTTTTTGTTAAACCAGTGGCCTTCCTAGGATAATTCAGATAATTGGCATTATTTAAATTCGCTTTTATTTCCATAACAATTCTATTCAATATAATGATAACCAAAAAATAATTATTTTATTAATTGATTAATTGAATTGTAATTATCAAGTTTCAAAGCAAAAAACGATTTTTTTCGCAATATTCCAACACCTAAGTTAACATTTTCACTTATTTTTCTTCCGAATATGAAGTTAAAGTTTCTCCATTATAATTCGTACTATCTTCTGTATTAACGGTGTAGTAAACCACCTTTATGGACTTAAAAAATATTTCTTCAAATGCTTTGTTTTGGAGCTATAAAAAAATAAGTGGGTTGATGAGATAATCCCATTAATCACTTAGGTAAGTTTCTTCTTTTTGTCATTTCTTACACCGTTGAGTTGTGCGTATACTAAGAACAAGTTGTGGGGATCTCCAATTGGTTGGTTAAACTCCGCACTTACAAAACGACGAGTTCAAATATTTCTTATATTGAAAACTACAAAAACTAGATTATTTAAATTCAAACTCCGAATATAATATTACACATACTAACACTGTTTTTCCCCCTTTTGCTTTCTTCTCCTTTTCCCACTGTTTTGTTTTGTTTCGCCCGCTTCCCTCCCATCAATCAGAAATTTATGAGTTCGGCTTCGTCCCTCGACGACACGATCACGAATCTGCGTCTGCCGTTGTGGGACAAAGCGTCCGCCGAATTTTGCTTCGCCAAATCGCGAGAACTGCTCACCCGCCCATTTCCGTCCGTGCATCGCGTACCCCCGAACAGTTCGTGTCGCGATCTCCTTCTGTTCGACGACGACGACGACGTCGCTTACCGACCGCAATCCCTCGCGGAACGTAGCTTCCGAAATTTGTCGTACGACGAAGACTATTACCATCCTCTTCCCTACAAAAATATCGCGATACCGAAATCCGAAGGAGTGACCAGAAAAACCTACGCGTCCGAATGCAGGTTTCATCGGAACGCCACCAGCCAGAGCTTTAGGTCGACGTACAGACCGTTCCCGGGCAATCAAACACGATACGTCGAACATTCGTACGTTTACTATAAGAGCGACGCAGTGGACGACGCGCAAAACTATTTCCCGCGCCCGCGCAATCTCAGTTACAGCGACGTGCACGACGCTCTGCCCAGGCGGCACAGCCGAAGCGTGCGCGAACGCAATCGCCGACGTCAATCGTATAATCCGAAAGCGTACGAGTCGAGCTCGAGTTCGAGTGACTGCGTCAGTGTCGGTTCTGTCGATTTGGAGTGGCGTCGCAAACGGACGCCGAGGTTGTCCGGTTCGAACGCGAGCATTCGTTCGGAGATGGTTAAACGGTCGACTAATCCGTTTCTAAAACCGCAGTTTAGTTTGAAACTGACGGGTCGATCCCCGCCTCCGAGCAGCAGCGTTTTGAGCGGCTTAAGTCCCACGTCGGCGTCGCGCAAGAAACTGTCAAATAGCAGCTCGACCGATTCGAGTTTATAAAGTGTTTGTTTCTTATCTGTTTGGATTTACGCTTGTTCCGGGATTTCGCCAGGACTAGTTTAGGGCGAGCTAAGTTTTGCGTTTCTCGGAACATTGAAGGCTTTCATAGTTAAAAAACGTCATGATTTCCTTTAGAACTCCCAAGAAAAGATACTTCGTTCGTGGTATTGTGCTGGTCGTCTAAGGTAAAGTTTGTTCATGGATATAAGAAAGTGACTAACTGATATGAATTAAGGAAAGACCCGGGCACGCTGTAATAATGAAATATGGCCGAACAGGTCCGTACTTTGCTTAGAATTTAATTATTTGGAGTTTTGTTAGGAAAGATACTAAATAATATTTATTTATTTATGTATGTATTTATGTTTAAATCTAAAATAAAATTACAAATTATTTTTATTACCTACTTAAATTACTTAAAATTATTCACATAATATATCAGTATTACTATCGTTATCATCGCCTTTTCTAATTATTATTTGTTCTATATTATTTGCAATATGGATATACGATTGTTCTGCTTTTTCTATATGTTTAACAGAATTTGTCCAACTTTGTGGAGGGATGTTAAAAACTTCTATTTACTTTTTACTTTCTATAAGTTTGAGGACATGTTTGGAACTAGTTTGTTTTTAAACCAACTTGCTTGCTTGCTGGCACCACGTTCAATGAGAGTCAAATAAACTTTGTTTATAACTTCCTTAGTCCCAATAGAATAGTGTTTTCCGCATTTTTGCGGGAGCGTCTCCTGAGATACACTAGACTCGCACATATTTTGCATAATTCGCACACGATTCAACACTGTATTACACACGAAATAAGAATGATTACTAATAAACTTAAAATAAGTAGTATACCAAACCAAAGAATGTTAAACAGAGATAGGTATAAAATTATTTTCTATTACGGACCACAATTTTACCGGGATTTAAATTCCGAAACTTGAGGTAATAATCTTGTTGCATTGTATGTTAATGACCATCCTTGGATAATCCTATTCAAAAGCAATTGGCCACTTTCTTATATCTATGAATACACCATACTCAAACAAAGCAGCGGCCTTTTCGTCTAAGTTTAAAAGCAAATCTGCGTTAGACGCAACGACATTATATCTAAAATATACCCCTAATGTTTACGGAGCCAAGGTATAATCATTGCACTGAGGTGGCTTTTACTTGATGAAAGTGTTCACATTTTCACAGTTATTTAATGATTTATGACGGCTGTTTCGGCAACACCCTGCTTCTGCGGGAGGGGAGACGGCTCCGCCTTTTCTATCTCGTATAATCCTGGTCCTAAGATCAGAAATATTAGCAATTTGTTTACAAGTGCCAAAAACAATCTTATGGCCTGTCTGGTGTTGGTGCACTAGTAATAGATTTTTAATTAATAGTGTAGGGATATAAATTTAATTTTTATATTTGATCTCCATAATAATTTTTTTTTTGCTTTTTGATTGATTACATAAAATATCAAAAGTATCATCAAACTTGTGCATTTCTGAATTTAGATGAATGACGTAGTTAGTTAGAGTCCGAACTTTTGCCATGATCCACATTTCAACTTGTAGACCCGGATTTTTCAGTTTTTCAATTTAGTTTTATTGGTTTTTAAAAAATTCCCGATGGCGTATACAGTTTTAAAATCAATCTTCAATCAATCAGCCTAAACAGCTGTCATAAATAATTAAATAACTGCGTAAATCTGAACATTTTTTGTTCTAATTTAAAGGTATAATAGATCACATCCTAAATATGGCGTTTTATAAATTTATTACTTGGTATACTCAGAAATACATAAGTTTTTACTTTCATTAGTGCATTAAAATTGCTTTCTTAGTACACAAATTATCAACCTTTATTTAGTATTGTGTTTATGATTCGTTATAGTTATTTTTACCATAATCGTCAAGTCGGCGTATAGAATTACTGAAAAGAAACTGAACTGTGCTTGAGAACTATTTACTGACTCATTAACGATGATAGTTTGTTTGTCATGGAACTTGAAAAAGGAGTAAGGATGAAACCATAATGATGTATCAACTTAACAGGGATTTATTTATTTTATCATTCCACAAACCCATTGAGAAGAATAACATCACAAAATACTATAGAATTTCACTACAATTAATATTTTACTTATATGACTTTATTTGTGAGCTAATTTACTGAATATTATTATTATACCAATACGAAGCAAAATATTGCTTTAAATCACTTTACTGGTTAGTAATTCGCATCATAGCAGGCAGCATTAGCATTATAGTAGTGTCCAGGAAATCCAACGAGGTCTTTTGAACTAAATGTATAAAATGACATTGGACAAAACTGTAAAGCGGAACAAGCGTAAATCCCATTTTTAACGCTATAATCTAACCAAATATATACCGTGATATATATTTATATACACATTTCTACACGTATTTCTCGAATGCCTACCGAACGTTTGTATTCCTTCCTTTTACAAATAAAACTAGCGCTATTGTTTTGTTACTTTCATTTCGACCAAATAATTCCTGTTTTTTTCTGTCTTTTTTAAATCCGTTTTTGTTTTCCCGTTTTCTTTAGTTTTTAAGTTTACTTTGTCCCTTTAGTCAAAGATCACGCAAGAGGAACAAATGGCTTATGAGGGCCTTGTGGAAAGCCCTTCGGTGGAAGTAACACAGGTGAGTTTCTGTCAACGAAAACAATCATGCAGTAAAATTAAATATACAAATATCTAGAAACTGGAGATACTCCACATATGTTTATAACATTAAAGCCGAACGTGATCATATTATGTAATTACATTAACCAAAAACCAACATTTAAAAAAACAAACATGCAAATAGTAACCTAATAAATAAATAATAAAAAATTTAAAAAATATTAAGGCTTTAAATGTAATAAAAATTTTGTAAAATGAATTAATACAATTTGTTAAAAATGGACAGATCTAAATCACTGTCCTTAACAGATCCGATCATTAGTCATTTAATGCAAGAAGTAACTATTTATGGTCAATTATGTCGCCCTTTGAGGAATAAGTCCACCAAGTGTTGCACAATGTTCCTAACAATATCTAAGCAGAATTAATTATTGTCATATAGCATTATCCAAATCTGGAATAAATAATATGAAATAGTAGAATTGGATACAAGATTGTGTTAGTGTTATGTTCCGCAAAAATTTGAAAATTATTTATTGTAGATTTTAATTCGACATTTTCTGAATTTAAAATTGCAAAAGATATATAATTCTAAAACATAAAAATATGAAATAAGCCTCATGAAATTTGTGTAACATAATTTATGAATTACTCTATTCATCATCATTTTGTCAAAGTATTCAAATCATTATTTTATAGCTCATGGTAACCAACCCACTGAAAATGTTGAGATCGGGGCAACCCGTTATAAATGTCCGCATGCGATCAGCAAGTATAGCACACACATTACCATCGAGATTAAATGCTTCTTCGAGGAACTCCATTCCTGAACATCTAAATGATGGCACAGGTATCTTCAAATTAGAAATTTTTGAAAAATCGTTCTTATTGTTGGTTCAGCTTTTTCAGGCAGTTCGACACTACCTAAACAAAGCACCATGCCTCGATCGGCGAATCACTTAAGAAGTCAAAGTGAATCTAAGGATGATAACCCAATCCCATTACCTCCCAGAGATCGCAACAAGATCTTATTAGCGGCTAAACCACGCCACACACGCAAGCATCCTTTAATCATACCAGCTTCAAGCGTGCAAAGAACTCTGGATAAAGTAAACACAGTGTCGCCCCCTCCGAAGACGATTCTAGATCCGTTTCAGATGCCCACGGAACCGGTTTACTCAAACAATGACGTTTTGACGGAAAAGAATCCAGAATCCATTCACTTTGAGGAACAGATCGAGTCGAACTTGAACGCTTTGGATGAAATCCAAGGAGCGGATCAGGACGTGGTCGATGGAGGACCCCCGCAAAGTCACCACGTCAGTTGTGAAGATTTATTGAAGTTCGCTAACGCCAAACCAAGTTCTAGAACCAGGGGAAATGACTCGGATGAGGTTAGAATTATGTCGAAGGTTTTAGGGAAAGAGGTAAGTTAAGAGGTGAATTTGGGTAGAGTTATCCAAACAATATACCGTTTTTACGACATAATCCAGTATTTAACTTTGACGGTCTAACCGCAGGCCTACCTCGCCTGGGTTTCTCTTTGTAACCTTCAATAAATAGATTCGCAATTACACAATGACGTTTCAGAACTGTACTTTGGTGTTTCGTGGATACAAATGTTGGAAGCAGACGGATTTGTGTAGAGTTTCTATGCAGTGAAAAATCCATTCTTACTTTTAAACCCGACTCTTTAAATACAACAGTCCGTACTGCACAATTCTTGTCGATTAACATTTTAAATACGGCCCTGGCTTGTGGTATATGTGCTGAAAAGAATGGTCCCTTCCGCTTTGCAACAGGCGGGTCTTACTTATTCCGAGGGCAAAACCATAAAAGGTTGTAAAAACGGTATATGGTCTGGAGAACTCTACCAAGGTCCCACAAGATGTGATTACAGTCGACGACGGAGAAATGCCTGGAAGCCCTAGATCAGTCCAATTGGGATGTGATGAAGGCAATTAAAATTCTAAAATTGTACAATGTGGTTCACGCAGACTTGGGTGCGTGTTTAAACGCTTTAGAAAGTACTACATGGGATATTACTAAGGCCGCCCAGTGGATTTTGCAGTTGGATGGAGAGGTCACTCAGGTTTGAGTTTTGGTTTTGCTTGCAAAAAATGTTTATTAAGTTTAAAATAATTATTGATTAAATTTTAATTTATTTATCATCTTGCCTTAACATTATACCTGTTTATTTTTTGTACTTGAAATTTTTTAATAAAATTTTATAGTATTACCATTTTTTTCACTCATACTTTATACCAAGCATAATTCACATTCAAGAGAGTTCTGACCAATAACTATTAGTATATAGTTGCAGACTACCTGGCGATATCTGTCATTTTAACGTTATTGCTTTAATTATCTGCTTTTATATAAAAAACCGTCTTGTACATATCCATGCCCCTACATGCATGCATACATATATATGCAATAAACTTCTCAGTGCTATCGTAAATAAAGGTATTTTTTCTTAAAAAATCCAATCTTATTTACTTACAGAGATGCTGTTCAAATCTATTTGACCATTTGATATACTAATAAAGCGATAAAGTATGGATTTATATATGATACTGTGTATACTAAGTATATCGGGTACTGTAGTAAAACACATTTTGCAACACAAAGACAATATATTACTGGTAATTATTTGGTACATTAAATCCCCATATATTGTATTAACCGTTTTCTTGCACAGTCACGCAACTTATCCTTCTTTACGATTATTTATAGTGCATTGTCTTACAAGTAAACTGTTAATTTATATTACATTTAGATTACAACTTCGGCTATTGTATAAATATAAAAAATATTAAATAACATAGCTTTGTCCACAAAATTCGTAAGTGATCTTTATTTAAAAAGTAAATAATGATCAACAGCTAACCTTTAAACATTTCATGTGATACATGCATCAAATATTTTCATTTGCTGCATTTTTGCCACTGGTCACCAAGATGAGAAGTTGGTTAGTAAAATAGAGAAAATTAAGGTTATTATTGGTGAAGATCCATTCTCTGATATTGTCTGATAATTATTTTAAAACGTACCAATGTCAAATAAAAAAAAATTCACCATGTCCCATAGTTTTCGCCAATTTCACATTGATGTAGCGCACATATTTAGTATTAACGATATCTTAAATGTCAATAAAAAACATTTAACGTCGTCTTAAAAATTATCTAACAATTATCTAATAAGGAAAATTCTAATTTTTTAACGGGAATTCGAAGTATCTAACTCGCTTGTGTGCTTTGACGCATTACCCTGTTTTAAGTCCCTTTTTTCTTTATTTAGAATAGTAACAGCAAAGGAAAAAACATTAACTAATTGGAATGTGCTTAATAAGCATTTTATTTTGACAAGTGCATCCTTCGCTCTGAAGAATTTATATGAACTTGGTACAAATTCCATTATGAAAATGACATGACTGCAATTTATTGCTAGTCTATGCCAGTGCGTTAAATTTAGATGTCAAATTTGTTGTTTGAAATTGTTGAAGTTTATTTTTGTCACTTTAGCCCAATTAACGACGCTGTAAATGAAAACTGGCCTCTTATGCAAAATTGCAGGGGGTCTCTAGATCTTTCATTATAAAAAAACTGTTTAAGAGACAAAACGTTCTACTCGATTCGAATGAGTAAACAAAAATTGTACTTTTCAGAACTTTTTAGAAATGCTGCATCAAATGTACTTTTCCATACTAGAAGATTCTCTTGCTTGCACTAATATGTAATTTGAGTGCATCTTTATACCAAAAATTAAATACGCAATATTTAAACTATTAACAACATGTATGATACTAAAATAATTATATTAATACATAATCAATGTGCGAGATGTGTCATTTTGAAAATTGACTTTAACAATGTTGCGAACGCCTTTCTGTCTCATTTTTTTTAACGAGGATGCTTAGAAAATCTGACGTCACACGTACATTTCATATTGTCTTCCACAATTAATTACTTGAGTGATATTTTAAAATTTTATATTTAAAATAGGAACTCATACTGAAATTACACCTGTTCACTTCGTCCCAAATTTGAAATTTTCAACAGCACATCAGATATTGATTTTATTGTCTTTTAACTAACCATGTTACAATGACAATTTTACGCGTTGATAATTCTACAATTAATTTGGAATATACGTGGAATTGAGTTTACACCGTTGCTTTTTATTTCTTAACTGATTTGAATGGAAAAATATTATCCTATATGTATTTCATTTTAATTCGTCTGTAAAATTATATGATCTTTGCAAACCATACGATATTTCAAGAATTCTTAATATTGAATCATATATAATTTCAATGTAATTTTAAACCCGGGTCCAAAAAACATCTTAAAATGGAAACACCCTATTTTTATTATCAAATCATATTTAGCATTAAAAACTAAGAATCTACTAAACCAAATGATTTTGGGTTATTATTTGTCTTCTATAAGTAAGTTAATTCTAGAACCGACGTTATTTTATGTAAAAATGTAAAATATTGAACAAAAAATCGTAAAAAAATCTCCAAATAATTTAGCACAAATTTAAATTCACACTCACTTTCGACTAATCCTTTATAATGCTTCCTAGTTTAATATTATATCAAGAGTCTCAAATACAGGCTGATTTGATTGTCCAATGCATATTGTATAAAATTAATAAAGTTTCACTCTAGTATTATAAATAAAAAAAGGATAAATATAACAACAAAATGGCTTTTCACTTTTGCGTTCTGTCTAGGACGGATAGTATGATGCAAACCGCCTTTACAGATACAGAATCAGTGTTGAAATACAAAAACAATTGATATATTGCTCAGAAAGCAAACACATTTTCAAAATGTTCAACTTTCTTAAAACCTTTACATTCACTGTTGAATACTGGAGCAAAATCTTTTTAAAAAAATCTATAGGTGCAACGAATTCTTATGAATGTGAGGGTGCACCAGGAACGCTTTTTTCATTTTTAATATAAATATCGCGCCTTGCCTTTGGCGTCAATTGCCATAAGATTAGCAAATATGAATGGCGTTTAGAAAACTTTTGAATAACATCTTTATTTTTATTAGAATTTTATGTTATTTGATATCAAGGAAAAAGGGTGTTTCCATCCTTTCCAAAGAATTATTTGTGTATTTATAAAAAAAAACAGATTTGAAAGGTTTTATATCTAATTAATGGTCAAAATTAACGAAGAATTAAAGAAAATTAAATATCTAGTTACTATCGGGAAGTTTGTAGTTTTGAGTAAATATTTTAAACATAAAAATATGTTTTGTTTTGGCATAGGCTAAGAGTACTAGTTAAAGGAAAAAATGTCAGTCCAATGATTTAAGTATTTCGACTTTTAGTTTGATATATAGCAGTATGAAAGTTAACCTTTAACAAAACATTACAGATAACATCTTAAGCTTTAATGAAATTCAAATGAAAATAAGTTGCCAGGATATTAGATATACATAATAATTTTTTCTCTTTATTAATATTTTTTTTAAACATAATAATAATAAATTTTGTTTTTTGTTTTAAGCAAGAACACCTGTACTTTAAAACTCAAAGTTAAAAAATATATGTTGTCAAAGTTGTTTCAAAACCAGCCCTTTATAAGATGGACAAAATAAAAAAAAAAAAAAACAAGTGGGAACCACCTCCCAACATTCACACAAATAGTTTCCCCTATTTCCTTAATTTTTTGGAATATTTCCCTTTACTTTTTCTTTGATATTTGCCAATATTTTTCCATTTCACCTCACTGAGTTAAATATTTTCTATGTTCTTTCCGCTTTGGAAGAAAAACTTTTTGGTCATTTAAAAACAGAACAAAAGGCTATTGCAAAGAAGTTTAAATATCTATTTCAAAAGTGTTTCTATGATATTCGGTTTCTTTAAAATACGTATAACTAAATGGCAACTTGAATATATGTAATATAAAAAATATATTAATAAAAATAAGGGTAACAACAAGAGTTTTAAAAAGGTCACAGTCATTACATCAAAGTTTGTTAACCATCAACAACAAACAGTAAGTCTTAAAATTGGTTTAAGCTTAGTTGCTAATTATATTTAGATCCTATAGCCGTTTATAAACGGTATGCCTGTGCCCACTTTGTGCTGGTAGTTGACATAATTTTGGCCAAAAAAATTTAAAAGCGTAATTTCTTCTATATATATCCTGGTCTTAAAGAAATGCCAAGAGACAATGGCATAAGCGGGTATACAAATTGGATTAAGCAAAATTATCTGAAAGAAAAATATTAACCCTGTTAAGCTACAAAGCCTTGGTGCCAAGGACATAGAAAATAATTATAAAATTATCATCTATTAATTTCTCTTACCTGAGTTCCTATTGCCCAATAAAACCATCCAACGTAACTTGGATGTCGAAACCATGCATATATACCTTTTGTAACTAAAATATGATCTTTGGCTTTCTCACACTGTACCTAGACAAATAAAAGTACAAATTTAGCGTCCTTTAATTCATAGAATTGAAAGTGTTTTCCCACTTTTTCCAAGGCCCAGCGTATATCAATTTAGCTTTTACTGCTGAACAAATGCAAATATGGTATTAAACATTATAAATCAATGAATTTTTAGGAATTTTGAAAATAAATAATTAATCTGGCTATTTTTTAAAATGCTATACAGTTAAAATTAATGAGCATTGAATTTTACCTGGTCTATTTTAATTAGATATTTTTTTATAAATACAACTGAGCCAAAGAAAATTTGAATTTATGGTATGTAGGGGATAAATTAATAAAAAAAAGGATAATTACAAGATGATTGAAATTTTTTCCAGCAGTATACATAGCAAGTTTTCTCAATGTTTCGCCACAAATGCAAATCGCTAATCCAACACAGGATATTGTCATGTACTTCTTTAAATCTGTAAGAATGGATAATGGATTAATAAAAAATTTACTCTTTTTTCTCCACTTTGCCTTTAGAGTATCAATCAAAACTAACCTGGGTAAAAATAGACTTCAATAAAAAACTCTATCCAGGATGCTACAGCAGCAATTGTATACTGCAGGCTGTGATTGAGTACGAATGAATTAACTGAAACTTGATTAGGTTGAATAAATGCAATTGCCACAAACTCCGAAATGTGAAAAAAAGACACAACACACATGTAGATACCAAAAATGCCAATGTGATTCTGACATGTTAAGTACATATAGAGCCCCAACCCAAATGTGGATCCAAGAAAAGCTGCTCTCAATGCTATCTAAAAAAATTAATTCAAATATAAGAAACCCCTAATTTACAAATAAAAATATAATTCAAATTAAAAATCTTAATGGATACATACCTCATAAACTTCTCCATCAAAAGCCAGTCGTATTAGCACCCAAATCATTAAACCAGTAGTGAAGAAAATAAAGATATTCAAATCGATCGTTGTTAGTTTGTAATAAATATTCAACTGACCCATTATGGTAAAAACCATAAAGGAACCTACAAAGTGTTCCAAAGACACCCTTGCTTGAGTCGATACCATCTTCGAGTTCTAATTTTAACTACACTGTCCTAGTTAATGATCGATTTGTTATATTCGAATCGAATTTTGCTGTCCTTAATCTACATTTCGAAATTTTAATGTTTTATCTCCTTGCATGGACATTTGTAAACAACTATTTCAATGAACCTTCTGACACTTCCCCATAGATAAGTTATAATGGACATGGGTACCTTTGCTACAGAGAAAAATAACCCATACACCAACTAGAAGTCAGTTGTTGGTCAGGGTGAATCAAAAACGCGGTGAAGAAGGTCAAAATTTGTGATTAGTAGGAAATCAATTTGAGTCGATGAATATAAATGAGCCAATTAAGTGGTCGCAAAAAATTGACGGTAGCAATTCAACGACGTTTAAGAAAAGGACAGTTATTTCCTATTAATATTTTGCTGTTAGTGGTACCGCTCTGTAATAGAAATTTGCCTAAAAATTGAGAAACATTTCATAGACTAGGTTCTCCTCCATAGTTACCATTTTCTATTTATTAAATACGTAAACTACAGGATTAGCTGCAATGCTGAGATCCTGTCGTAAGCATTGAAAATGGCAGTTTAACCTCCGCTCGCTCTCGACAGAATCCTTTGTAATTGTCTTAAAAAGTTTTGGTATCGGTATGGTTTTTGTTCCATAGTGTTTTGTGAAGGTTTGAAAGTGTGTAATTGTTGTTTTTACCCTCCACGCCGGTTAAAGGCCGTATGGGCCCGGATGGTCCGGAATGGAGGCGGGGGTGGCCGTTTTTTGTCCTTTTTTCCAAGCTGAAAAGAAATGTTGATTAAAATCTTTTTTACGGGTAGGGCTCTGACATGTAGGTCTGTGACCAAAAGACAAACGTCGGTAATGGGAGAATGACTATAGTAGTCTTGTCGAACTGATATGGAATAGCAAAGAAAAGAAGATGAAGCTGCAATGCAATGGAATGGCCCATCAGCTGTGGTGGAGCATTGCACGCGGCGGTTTAACCTCCGTTCGCTCCCGACAGAATCCCTTGTATTCGTCCTCAAAAGTTTGATATCGGTTTCCACTGTGTGGACTTAGTGTTGTTAGTGTTCAGTGCATGTTTTAAAGTTATAATCGTCGTCGGCCCCGTCGTTTTTCCCCGTTCACGCCGGTATGGAGGCCGGATGGGCCCGGATGGTCCGCGGTGGAAGCGGGGGGGTGTCGGTTTTTTTTGGTATCGGTCAAATTTGTTTTTTTGCTAGTTGAGCAAATATTGGTTATATGTCTTCTTTGTACGTGTTGGTCAATGACCAAAAACGAAGATCCTCGACGGAAGTCGGCAATGGGCGAATGATCCTAGCAGTCGAGCCCAACATTTTTTTGTGAAACGCATACTTGAATGGCCCATCATCGTTCGTGTATTAACACTCGATAATACTGGAGTGAATATCGGGAATCGGTATTAAGATATCAATTTTGAACATTTGAACAGAACAGCTCACGTATTAAGCGAATGAGCGATATTCTTTCCCAAATGCGCAACGTTCATGTAATATGAAATGTGTTATAATTTATAGGAAAGATAAAAAAAAAGTCCTGGCAAACACATTCTAAAATAAGTAATCTACCTATGATGGTAATCTATTGGACAAAGAGTGAAGCACTGAGGTTAAACGAAAAGAGAAGACTGGAGAAAAGTGTTTATTTAATGGAAAATGGGGGTGCGTGGATTGACTACGTACATTAACAACAGATCTGAGATATTCTTGGAAGACTACAAATTATACAATACAAAATTGGTATTAGATGGTAACTGCATTGCAGCTCACTTGTACAAGTGGCACTGCAAATCCAATGATTGTTTTGGAGGAGATTATGATAAATTTGCCAATGTGATCATCAGTTTCTTTAATTTACTAGTTGAGTGCAACATAACGCCATATGTAATATTTGATGGAGGTTATGAAAAAAGAAAACTTGCTACTGTGAAAAGTCGGATGAAAAATAAAATAAGGACTGCTTCTCAGCTGAATTCAGTTACTGAAGGTAGTCAGTCTGTATTTCCTCTTTTTTTGAGAGAGACATTTATAGATGTTTTATTGAAACTTAACATAAAGATGGCAAGGTCCGACTTTGAGTGTGACACAGAAATAGCAAATATTGCCAAAATGTTAAACTGCCCAGTTTTGAGTTATGATTCTGATTACTACATATTTGGCTGTTTATATATTCCTTTTTCAACAATGGATTTATATGTGCGGAAAAGCAAAGACAAAATGTTCAATTACATATCTTGCAAAATATATAAAGTAGAGAAATTTCTCAGTACTTTTGGGGGTTTAGACAAAAAAAACTTACCAATACTCGCAGTAGTTTTAGGAAATGATTACATCAAACGAAGTATTTTTGAACCATTTTTCAAAAATTTGAAGATACAAAAAGGCCACAATGCTCAAAATGATCAGCAAAAGAGAATAAAGTCAGTGATTGTCTGGTTACAAAATGAAACTTTAGAATCTGGGATAACAAAAATTTTGAGTCGATTCAAAGCAGACAGAAGAAAACTAGTGATGAGAAAAATCAAAATTGCAATGTCATGTTACTATTCGGTCAATGTGGAATTGCTTTATCATCTTGGAATTGCAGAGCCAAGTAGTGAGACCAAAATCAATGTGAATTTTGGGGAAATTGAAAACAACTTAACAGATATTTCTGAAGACGACTTGGAAATTTTGGAAGAAAGTGACATGGAGGAGAGTGACGAGTTTTCTTTAGAAGGTGAATATGAAACAAAGAAACATATTTCACTTTCAAAAGTATTTAAAGACAATTTCAGGAAGTGCCTCTATCCATCTTGTTTTATGGACATGGTAGTATTAAATAAATATTATTGTGTTCCCCAAGTGGAAGTTAGTAATTTGGAACATGCCCACACAATAAGTTTAAAGCTCATAAGTATCATTCACAAAATATTAACAAACACAGATAAAGATCTAACTCTATTGGCCAGATGTGGGGAAGTCAATATTAAGTATTATCCACTTAGAAATTGTACAATGAATGTGCCTAGTTGCACAGAGATCAAACATTTTAATCACTTAAAACGGAAGGAACATTTTTTAAGTCTACTTCAATTGGAACAGAAATTCATAAACAGTTTGAATTTGTTTCCTTGGGAATGGCATTTATTCTTAATATCTTTGAAATATGCTTTTTCTCATGGATCATTTGACATATCTCTGTTATATTCCTTTATTTTGTGTTTTATGGTTTTAACTTACGTTGATAATAAAATAGGGTTTTATAGATCCATAAAAATGCTTCAAAAGAAATTTTGCCTTGGTTTGCAGTGTTGCATCAGCTCTAGAAAAAACGCCCAATCAATATTTCAAAATATTTCCCAGCAGGATTGTCTCAATTGTATGCAAAAATTAATTTTGTATTTTAAAATGGATGAAAAAGTCAAAAACAATTACAAATTGTTTGACAGAAATTTGGTACATTCTATGTCAGAAATTCAAAGTTGTTTCTTACATATAAAATATCTCAATAGTTTGTTCAATTATCCATATCCCAATTTGACAATGCACACGGTCTTCGATGGTACTTTTATATACAATATGACCACAAATCTTAGAAAACGATCAAATTTGGAAAGCTACATTAAGATGTTGCTAATGGATGCCCCTACAATAGCGAATGAATTTGAATATGTTCTGACTACAATTTCAGAGTATTTTATTTGTCAAAGCATTACGCAGAAAAAGAAGCACAAAAGAAAAAGGAAAAAACTGTCTCAAACTGCTTTGGAAGAAGATGACTGTGACATTGAACAGGAACACGCTAATATAGTGGACCCAAACAATTTATTTTCTGTTTTGTCATTGGTTTCAAACTAAATAATAATGATTATTTCGTATTTTTGTTTTTGTTTATGGTGTACTGAATTATTTAATTATATTGAATTAGCCACAATCAACCATTTAGAGGTACATTTTTAATATCATACTCAGTTTCGTTTCTTGGAGACTTCATTATTTTTTTTGTTTAAATTTTAATGTGGGTATCAAATAAAAACACATTAGCCACCATCATAGCTATCCCAGAGTGAATAATAACACAAAAATTGTATTTTAATTAATAAAATTCTGAAATTGCAAAATAAAAATAATCTATTCGATCCACTTTGTTTACCCTCTGACGGCCATTTTAACAGCTGATCGTGACGTTAGTGCAGAGTAATTGTTGGTAAGCTTTTTAAGACGCTTTTTTGGTTAACTTGACATTGACAACTGCTGAAAATCATCCGGTCAGCTTACAAATATAAAAAACATCCAAAATTGCTAAAGAAAGACTACTTAACATATGATGTGTTAACATATACATTGCAAATTATAATAATTAGTCATAAAATGACGACTGATTCGCAATACGCCTCCAGCAATTCGCAGGATCTGGGTACCAACAACCAACGCGAATATATTTACTCATAAAATACTCATGAAACAAACAATTCAGAAAACTATGGGTACTTATTTTCAAGAATTTTGAACCGATTTCTAACTTTATTGGAACCAATTAGGCCAAACGTTCTCCAAAAAAAAGTGGTTGTAATTTACCTCCCTCATTTTTCTTTGGAAGCGTGTGCTGGATGCTGGAAGGTGTATTGTCAAATATCCATGGTATATCTGTGCTGTTGTAACTTTACCTAACTAAAACGAGACTGGGTGGTTAAAATAGCCTACAGGTTTGTGTTGTGAGTGTTGTTTTATTTTGTTAAATTTAAAAGTTTTATTCTGTAAAATTTTGCTATTATTATATTCTCGCACGCATAGACGGTATTTTATTTTTCAATAAGCTTATTAACCATCTTATAGCGAATAACTAACTAAATTAAAATTGATTTCACTATTTGCATAAATCTGGATTTTAGTCACTGCCTACTCGAGAAAAGGTGGAAATGCCGTGTACAATTATTTATTAATTCATTGTTTCAATATTTTCAATATTTTATTTATTATTTTTGTTAACAATATTATTGAATATCGACTACTGGGTCAAGGTTATTTAGTTATTTCAAAAAAGCTGTTTTTAACTCCAAGTGTAAAATAAGTAAAAATGACATCATAGTCACTTTTAGATATTTGGTATCATAATATCGAGTCATTAATGAAATATTTTATTAAGGTAGGCAAGGCGTCAAACGTTTTATTTATTAGTTGCATTCCAGTATTGGTCAGTTGATCCAGAAAATAAACCATGAGTGATCCAGGATTTCCCGGTCAACATTCTACTACAACTACAGTGAAATCATCTACGACAGCTGTAGATACTACCATAAGATTTGATGGATCCTATATAAGAACTTTACCTGGAATGTTGAAAATTTCCCAAGTTGTAAGTTTTTTTTTCTTTTTTTTTCCGAAATATTTTTTATTTATTGGTACTATTTTAGTCATTGAACTTGTTGGGTTTCATCTGTATAGAAGCAGGTGGACCATGGGCCTATCACAGCAGAGGAGTCTGGTTTAACTTTGTTGCTATGACTGGATTTTGGTTAACCTTAATTTTGCTTGCCTTATATCTGTTCCACATTATAGAACGCTTTTATAAAATTCCATGGCTCAAATTTGAGTTGGGCTATTGCGGGTTGTGGGCTGGATTGTACATTATTGCTGCCTCCTTAGCGCTATCGTTTACACATGTGGAAGCTTTCATTGCAGCAGGGGTAAGTTTCTTCACCACATCCTGGAAGTTTATTTTGTAAAAGATTAATAATGATTTTAACAGCCAGTGCGTAGATTTCTGTTCTGTGACATGTGATAAGTGAAATTAAAGAAGGTTGATTTTATAAACTATAAATTAAATATCAAGGTAGTTTATATAAATTATTACCTATTTTTTCTGGTACTATGCAAAATAGAAGCAGAACCTGTATTAGCTGTTTTACAAATAGTAGAAATCAGAAATTTGGCTACAGGCTAACCTGAAAATGAATTGAATTGGAAGTTAAAAAAATGTCTAATTGTACCTGATCTCTAAAGTTCTATTAATGAATTAATGAATAACAGACATTGAGAATTCTAGGGAGTGTCCTAAAAGTGTTTTATTTTTCTTCTTATATTTCTTATTTAATGGTTTGTTTAATGTATTTTAATGTATACTAAGGAGATGCAAACTACCTTAACTCCAAAAATAGATACACTTGGTTACATGACACCATTTTCTGGATAAAATCTAATATATTGGCTAAAACACTTGTTAAATTTGTGCAACTCCTTATGTCATCATTACACAATTTAATAAAAATAGTGTTTCAAAGTTCACTTACTTTATTTGTCCTATTTTTGTTGCTTCTTCTCTATTGGGGACTTATGTATTAACAAAAATAAACTTTATTGGAGCACAAAACACATATTTAATACTGTTAGTTCACTTACCAGAAGAATATTTAAATACCACCTTAAAATTTATCTTTTTGGTTTTAATAAACAGGTACATTTTTTGCTTTCAAAAACATAATTATTTGTATTATATTTCTAGAAGCTGGTAAATTAATATTTTGTGTGTTCTTTTTTTAAATACTGATAAGCGACAGTCAAATAAATATTAAACTGTTTAATTTACCTAAACTAATTTGGAATATCAAGGAATGATTGATATCTCTTTTAAAAAAAGTACGCCAGTGATCTTTCTCACTTATTAAATAAGTGAGATATCTCTGGAAACAAAAGAAAACTTAACACTACTGAATAGGATAGGATATGGCTTTCTGGAACTAGAAAACCTGTTGGTATCCAAATTTTCATGTTCATTAACCATGTTCAAACTTAATTCCGTGTGAGAAATGGATTTCTGTTGACTTAAAAAATTTAGTAACCTTTTGATACAGAAAAAACGTGAACATAATATACCGGTCTTTTTTTCAGTTCTTTGGCTTTTGTGCCATGATCGCGTATGCGTTGGACGCATTCTTGAAATACAAAGCGGTTCAAAGCGGTCAGTTAGCCCAAGGCGAGAGAATGGTCAGCAAGCAAACAACCGCTGTCAACTCACCGACTTATTAAACCCACATATCTAATTTTCATTTTTCTGTATATTATCCTATTTTTAATCCAATTGGAATTACTTCGGTGTCTGGCATGGAGTTACCAAAATCTCTTTCTGTTCAGTTTAAACATCCAGATTCTTATATAGTGTATAATATTCTTAATCTCTTTTTTGGAAAAGATATATACTCGTTATTTAAAAGGCATTTTTTTTGGGAAAATGTCATGAAAAGAAAACAAATAATGCTTTTCAATATTTAAACACTTAGGAATGGGACAACGCCTAACTGTTGTGTTTATTTCATATTTATTAATAATTTTTATATTTTTCGCCAGTGATGGGGCTTTATGGACACTAAAGGCACTTTAGAATGGTTAGCTGACAAGTACTGAAAGTGCCTCTTTCTGCATACTCACTCCATCACGGGCGACAAAATCAACTTCCACACCTGTTAGATTTTTTTTGTTCCTTGTCTGTGAAAAGTAGTCAACACAAATTGTGGTTTCCTGCAATTTAATTTCTGAAATTTATAAACATTTTGATTCTAAGATTGAATTTTTCTAAGTTAGAAAGAAAAGGATGGTTGAGATGCTACTAACCTTCAGATTTCATATGTTTAATGCTCATTAATGTTTTTTTTTCAAGGCGATCTTATCAAATGTTTTCAGACAAAGCATATGGCAGTGGTCCAATTTGAAGTCAGTTTCTATTACAGAGGGCTATGAGAAGGAGATACCGACTGGTACATTTAATGCCCAATATCTTTACAGCATTTATTGTATGGGAAACATTAATACAAAGTTTAAAATAATATAGTAGTTACTTTATACAATTTAGGGCAGAGATGTATCTTTCAATGAAAAATGCCATATTGTAATGCAAAATATATAATCATAACAAAATATATTTAAGGGATTCTATATGAAAGTGCATTTATAGTGAGCATTTCAGATTCATGATTAACATTGTGTTTTATTTCCTTCTTGTTTGCTCTGGTAATTCCTGGTTATCTTAAAGATGTTTTGACTCAGAATAAACACCATATGGAAGTGACAATAGACGGCAAAATGTTTGAATGTGGGAAACTGTCAAACTGTTTCTTTTTTCACAACAAAAATTCACCTAAATATGGCATTTCATGTTCGTGACACTTTAATACACCTACAAACTCATAAGAAGCATCAAATTTCACAAATTTAGACTATGTCTGCGTTTGGAACAAAAATTTGGATTTCACTATATGATTTGAAATTACATGGTGGCTTTTTTCCGGTTTTCGTTTCTGCGGTGGAAGTTTGTTTAAAATTTTCACTCACCTGTGTCTCACGTTCGTATTGCCCAATTTTAAAAAAATGGATACCATGATTTGTCAATAAAATTAATGATTTTCCATACCAATTTGGATGGGTACTTTCCACACAGTGACAGAAAATAGTCTTTTCAATTATTTAATGAGCCTAAAATTTGTTTTGTTTTTCATAAAATCCAATATTAAATATTTTATATATAAGTTTTCATTAACTCAACATTTCTCATTATCATGATTGTCATAATACTTTAGATTTCGATGTGTTCATTTTATATTTTAGTTAAGTATGTTGCTTAATTTTCTCTTATTAAAAAGTATTAACTATTGGCGCTGCGGTGTGGAAATATCTTTCCATGCGTTTGATATATTCTTTAAAATTATTTTTGGAGCTTCTATTTTGATTTGATTCTCTTTTTATGCAAATTGCGGTACCGGTAAAAAATATGTTTCTTACTTTAATTTTTAAATTTGGAATAGGACTTCAATTTTAGTCAATTTTGGAATGCTATTCCAAAGTTCAATATTGCGGTAACAAGCATAACAATAACTAATCAGTGAAAAAGACTAAGGAAGGCTTATGGAGCTCTAAAAATAGTCAGAATTGTCTCTAGCTTTAAAATCTTAGTATTGTAAGAGATTTAAGTTAATATTGTGCAAAAAGCTTTTGATTCAAGAAAAGGGTCCACAATTTAAATAATAACACATGTCTCGGCATATGTAGTCTAAAAGTAGCAGATAAATATGTACTGTACTTTACATTATGATGAGAATTTGTTAGTTGACATATATCAATCTTTGTGTGATATTTTTAGATCAGTTTTGGAAGAAAACTCATCCAATCAATGTCATGTCAATGTTATATTTCTACACTCAGCACGACTATAATTTTTGTTTTTGTGAATAATTGTTACAAAAAATATATTTATCACAGTAAAGTTTATTTGTACAAATTATAAGCAACTATGAGCATGACGCTTAAGCTTCATTACAGTGATAGAGCACTGCTAGGGATAGGGTGAAGTCGGTTGATTGGAACTTGATATTGTCTTCACAACAAATATGAATGTCCTATGAAAGTTTGCCCTTATGACCCTTAAACCTAATCAAGACCTCGTTTTTAGTTTCATAAATGTAACTTTTTTTTTTGTTAAAAAAATTATAGCTTATTGCGCATCACTTGGCCACTTAATAACTAAACTAAGTCTATTCATGCAACATTGGCTACCAAATTTTGTTAAAATATCGCTAGAAGTTTGAAAGAGAAAATAATTTTCCGCTATATTTTACCTTTCAAATCAATTTTTTTGCTCAATTTCAATATAGTAGCTCTATATAAAAAACTGGACACAGTTTGTTATTAACATCAATGCAACAAATTGGATCAACCAATCATCTTATGAGCAATCAGTGGTGTGCGGCAGACCCCGTATAACAAATTGGCGTGCTGCAAGCTTCTCAAATCGTTTCAATGCATCGGGTGTCCGAGAAGGAAGGGCACTCGGCCCTATCTCGAAAAATATGTTTATATCATAAATATATTATACATAACTAAAATGAACACCGTAATGCTGGAATAAATTCAATTCTTTTTCGTTAAATGCTTTTTGATCTATCTCTTAAGGGAAAGTCGTGGGTTTTTAAGTTAAGAATATTTAATAATGGTAGGTAAGCTAAAAATATTCCTAAATATGGCGACATTACTTTGGTATTTCTTTTACTGATGTAGTTTAGGAAAGAAGTATCGAAATTGACTGTCTTTTGTTGCAATAAACGAGATATCGTTGCATTTAATTTTTTTGATAAATTTTATTTGTAGTGAGGCAATGAAGAACCTTTTTCAACGACTGCAAGTTTGACAAAATACGTTCGGCTATTGTTAATGACAATTATTTCTAAAAAGATTCGGAGACCCCCCACCACTTTTCCCTTAACAGGTAGAACAAAAACTAATTTATGTAGGCGAATCGAATTTATCCCAACTTTAGAATTGTGTTTATTTTAGTTATCTTTAATATAAGATTATTTCTCAAACAACAGGTTTTCAAATTCAAGAATGCAATTATGCCCCCTGGCAGGCATTTGAGAAATTTAAAAATAATTTCCAGCTTTTCTTTTTAATCGTAACTTTTTTTACCCCAAGTTTTTACAATTACTTTTTGAGATAGGACCCAATGAGTGCCCTTTTACCCCTTTACAACCCTAATATAAAGAAACTCATATTTTTAGTATGGAGTACTTAACTTAGGTTGAGAATTGCAAAGCAGAACTTTTTTTTATTTTATAAAGTTAGCTTAAAAAAACTACAATTAAATAATTAAACAAATTCAGAAAATATACAATAACAGGATAATAAGAAAAAGAGAATAATTTATGCTGTTTATTAAAACACTACCATATAAATTAATTTGACACTTTTACTTTCTTAAAGTACCTCTTAATATTATTCCGTCTAGTTCCTGAGTATCTGTAGCACCAGCTAAACCGTCATCTACAGCCTTTCGCTTCGCAATATCAGCAAGAGCTTTAAAAGTATATGGCTCCCAGCAAGCCAAATCGGCTAGAGTTTTGCGATCCAAAAGTATATCTGATCTGTGAAGTGATTCTCGGAATGTGCTATAACTTATTTCATGTTGAGCACATGCTGCAGTAAGCCTGGCTTCCCACAGCTAATAAAAAATTCTGTGTAAGTGCATTGCAAGAATTAGTAACTAATTGCTTACATTTCTCATGTCAAACTTTTTCAATTTTCTGCCTTTGGTAGCATAAACTAAAGCCCTGTGGACGTAGCGAATTGCAATACTATAACAATTTCTCCTTCTTCCAATAAAGTGCTATAAATAAGGCATTAGTACTTTATCAGTCTTTGAAAACTTGTTTACCGCAGAGAGTTTCAAAATTTTTCGTTTACGCCAAAACTCGTCTGGACCTCTTGATCGCACAAAATTCACGGCCGACAGAAACACCATTTCTTTATAACCCTTTTCGCTATTCAATTACAAGTTTTCAAATTTAAGATATCTATAAATTCGGCAAGATTTAATTTCCTACAATAGTTTTAGAAGACATTTGAACACAACCTAAAATAGTCAAAGAACGCACAGAATAGACAGATTGGGTACGAATAAATCAAGATTTCCGACTGACAATGCCGTTTTAAACTTGCCTTTTGCTTCATCAATGTTCAATAACCCAATGACAGGAGGTTTTGTGGGTTGCCTATTTTGAAATGTGTCCTACGACAAATATGGACTATAAAACAATGTTCTTTCACTTTCTAGATCAATATACAATATTTCCTTTTTCTAAATGGGATCTGATCTCCACTGTCCTGATTTCCCAAAATTAAAATCTGGCAAATTGAATAATGTAATTTCAATCACACCGTGTAAAGTTTAATAGTAGATTATGCAACTAGTGTGATAATAGTATACTATGCAACAAGTGCGGTAACCGGCATTTGACTCACGAGTTTATTTGACACGAGCGGAGCTAGTGGTCAATAAACGAGTGGGTTAAAAAGTTTACCGAACGTGTTGCATACTATACTTTTTCTACGACCGTTAGTGTTTGGGTACATTGTCGAAAAACAATATGAATACATTCACTGACATGACCGTCAGAATTGACAAATGTCAAAATTCAACGCGTGCGAAATATCCCCGAAAACATCCGATTGCTCCCAAATCCGTGCGGTAAAATCCCCGAAATGTCCGAAGTGGCTCGGATTCATGGAAAACGAAACTGACGTGGTAAAGTGACGCTTCCCGCACGCTAGATCGGTGGGTAATTAGGTATTTTACAAACGGGAGTAGAAAAAAATAATTTTAGGTGAATATCTAGCAATCAACAGTGGAGCGGATCGATAAATAACTCTAGTGTGTCCAATATAGTAGCTGCATGCTGCTTTTGGATAAAAATAAAATTATTTGTTATAGATTAATAGTTTTTCAAGTAATTTTAAACTATATTTCCACACTCAACACAAACAGTGCTTTTATTTGGCAACTTCAATGAATTAAATAAATAATAAAACAAAGTAAAAATGAAACAATGTAAGAATCACAACTTTTATTTTAAATTCTATATATACACAATATATACAAAAACAAAAAACCGAGTAAATAGACAAAACTTAATAAAACATGAAGATCATTGAAAGCATATAAGTCAAGGCACTTGTGTGAACCAGGTAATTTTTATTAGTACTGACCATTATGTTTAGTCCCATTCACAATCAATATTTAGCTTACTTTTTGTTACCGCTAATCAGTACTTCTTTTTAATGATAATTTTGACTAGCGTAATATATATAACAGAGTTTCGATTCGGATAAAATATGTACAATGTGTAGATAGGCAAGGAAATTGGTTGCACAGAATACTTAGTAAGTAAAAATACGACTTCAAGAGTGGTAAATTAAACGGATTATTAATGGTTGATTTTTAATAGATGTCGTTTTCAGATTTTGGATCAAGGTATTTTCTTTTAATTTTTCTATTTGTGCCTAGTTATTAATACTGAAGTAGCCAAAAAAAAGGATGCCAAAAAAAAGAAAAAACATACACAATATGTAGTAATGTCAGCGAAAAAATATTAATTTATAATTTTATATAAGGAATTTGCAATTACTGGATTAATGAGTAAGACTAAGAGTAAGCTGTAGATAGGTACCTGCTTAGAATCCTATGCAATCAATGAAAGATGGAAAAATAGTTAAATGGCAAATTTTTACAAAACTAAGAAGTGGGATTTTCTGCAAAGTGGTGTAAATTTTTCTCAAAGATTGTAAAACAAATCAACTGCCATAACCGCCACACCCCGAAATTTTTTTGGGTAAAGGCCTTTTATGGATGAAAAAAAACTTTTTACAGACTTTTGTTCTGAATTTTTAATTTGCAAATGTGCATTTGCAATTGTAACATAACTCAACCCTACAGATGTATATGCGTCAGTTGAAATTGTCTAATTTAATTTTATTTAACTTAACGCCTACCTGCGGCGTCCATTTCCATTGAAATACGTTCTCTTCCAAGCGTCGTAACGTAATCGAAATTAACGAACAAACTAATCTAGTTTCGTGTTACCTAGAAATGTAATAATCTCACCATAACTGACTATTGCTAGCAGGAATAATTGTCAGGCAACGAGTTCGTTCAAACTACTTGTTTGAACTTCCATTTGAATGACATCTCAATGTGCCAAATAAATTTAATGGAAGTATAAATATTTTTTTGACGAGGAAAATCGAGAGAACCCGGTTTTTAATTCTTGATTCAGATATCGACAAGTCTATATCTCCCGTAAAATAACTTTAGCACTTGTGTAGAAAATTACCTGGTTGGTATAGAAATTACATGGTTTATTGGTTAGTCGCGTCATACGCGTGGCCATAGTCTACGTCGTTAAGATTGCAGTTTATCCGAAAATCAAGATCGTTGAACATGGCCGCATCGTTCGGGAAGTTTGCTTTGTGTTCGTAACCGTTGAGAAAATTGTATTCGTTATACTGCGCCAAATCTATATACTCCTGGAAGTTGCTCTTCCCGTTTTTACTTGTTTGCGCGTTATCAAAATTTTGACTGAACGCTTCTTCGGGTAGGTACGTCACGCGGCTCTCGAAAGCAGAGTCTGGCTTGAATTCGACGTCGCAAAAAGTTTGTTCGTACAAAGGATTGGATTTATGTTGATTTAAAACACCGTAATCGGCTTCGTTGTTCCTCGTAGGTACCATTAAGTAGTTTGGGTCTGTGGAGGGGACTACCATTTTACTACTATCCGGACTTTGGTTTACGCTGAACCGCACGCTACTGCTCGTGTTGCTGTCTTCGTTGCCGAAGCTCATATTCTGCGGCCAATATTCCTCGGTTTTGAACTCCCTGTGGATCGTGCCGCTCCCCAAATCTAACAAAGTAGGCGGCGATCTGGTCGCAGTGGTTGTTGCACTTTGGTGGGAAAAATCTGGTTTAATTGGCTGATCCAGTTGGAAAATTTCTTCGGGTTGAAAAATGTCCGACTGTATGTTGGTGAAGTCGTAATGGTCGTTTACGTTTACGAATTCGGTGGGGTAGGCTTGAGCGTGTGCGGGTTCCTGAGTCCAGTACGAGTTCAGCGGTTGGGAATGTTGGAAAGAGTGCGGCGACGTTGGGTAATGCTGTACAGTCGTTGATATTGTTGGCTGGAACGCGCAGATGCACTCGAACGGAGGACACGAACAGTATCCTGAAAGGAAAACAAAATGCAGTTCAGGAGACTTCCGAATGCATCAAAAACGAAGTGAATATAATTGTATTAAAAAATATCATTTGTAAAAGCCATTTAAATATAGTTTTAAGGTTTTAATTGAATGGGAAACAAATACAAATTATTTTTGTTGACAAGTTGATTTTAGGTATTTGCTTCTCCTTCATGGCCTTCTGCCTTTTTTGCAAGTAAAAATGTCTTAGACCTAAACAATACTTTTATGATTTATGATTATCCCTTTTCTGCAATTCTCCACTATTAATAATATTCCTCATCGGCGATATTGGCGTTTTTGTAAGTAGACAGGTTTCTTTTAAAGCTAATAAGTCCTCTACTGAAGAAATATATCGGAAAGAAAGAAATATACCTGACCCACCCCTGCCTTGTCACTCAAGTAAGAATAAATTTTTTGTTAATAACTTTACCCAATAACAATAGGAAATAACATCGTTAAAGTTTTATTAGGGAGCGTCCGTCGAAAGCCAACACGATAAAGATTAAGACAGACTGTAACAAAAAGTTAAAAATACGTAACGACAGTGTGTAAAATATTTAAACATAACAACCCATAAAAACATCTTTCGATTAAGCAAAAAGCAAAATTCTAAATTAAAAGGACAGATATTACACCTTAATAAAGTAAAACATTATTTTTCCTCTACTTATCAGTATAAGCGGATTTGAAATGAATACAGTGATCCCATAGACGGAGAATGAATAAACAAACGAAATTAACAGTCTACATAATTATGTTTATTTCACTAATTAGTTAAACAGGCCAGATATTTCTTTTTCGTGCTGCCTTGAACTATAGCAAATAAAACAGTACAAGATACAATTAGATTGTAAGTGTAAAAAAGAAAATTTAAAGTTAAAAAGACACTAAATATTAGAAGAAAGTTTGAAAAACGTTAAAAAATACAAAAATTATAGTTTGGATTACAGCAATTTGTCTTACGACTAATTAGCTTTTTTGACAGTCAGTTAAGTTTGTGAACTTTTTCTTCTGAAAAACAACGTACCTTTATCTTGATCGGTAACGAGAGGCGGCGGATTGGTGGTTCTTATCACTTGGTTCATTTCTCTACATTGTCTTTTTGGTTGCCTGAGTGACATTATCTGAAACAAAGGCAAACTGTAAAAAAAAACAACGAACCAAAAACGCACATACCAAACTAAAACATAACTAGCTACATAGCAACAACATTTTTGCAGTTTTCCAACCTAATTTATTTAATTAAAATTCACATTTTTTTTGTTTTATTTGAGACGGCATCCTACATTTTTTATTTCACTTCCGACTTTAAGGGAACTTTAGATAATAGAATAACATACTAGCTTAGTAGGATCTATAAGATTTAAAATATAATTAGTAATTTTAGAAGTTGTTAAAATCAAATTGTGGATTGATCTTTCAATTTTTTCAGGATTTTTTCTGATTTCCTCAAAAGTATCTCTTACATTCATATATATCTACGGGATATACTGAGGCCCTGCCTATGCTGATAATATAGGAATATAGGACAAAATTTCCTAAGATAAAAAATTCGAAAAAAAAAGTCGATAAAACTATAAAAAAGAAACGTATAAGACGTCTTAAGGAATTTAGCTAACGGCTCTTGTAACTCACTACACTGTTTCCCCACAATTAACCCTAGGTAATACAAGACAAGTAATAACCGGTTTTGACGGGAGATTTTTAAAGAAAACTCGTACGTAAAGTGTAATTCTCGATACGGATCTAACGCGGAAAGCAAGATATTTAGCGGATACGCGCCCGACTGAAACAAAGCAATCGGAATGTTCTAGACGAGTTAACAATCACACTCTGTTATTAAATTGGTCCGATTTATGAAACGTCGGTTCCAGGTTACACCCTTGGCTAATTTAATATTCAAGTATTATCGATACAATAATTATTTATCTTTTAGGCAAAAAAATCGTAACTTTTATTTTTTTATGTCTTGGTATATTGTGTGTTTCTCGGGGCGAAAATATTGAAGGCGGGGTTCTCGTGAGTATAGTTTATTATTTTCATTTTGGTACGTCACCCGATAGTATCGAATATATTCGATTCAATTCAAATTTAATAAAGAAATTATTATATGCATAAATGCACAAATAGATTTATTAAAATTTCCAACTATACTGCCCATTGTCGATACAAAAGTGTACGGGATAATAATCGTTTGGTTAAGTTACCATTATCAAGTTAATCCTAAACATTTTCGTAAATTTCTCAAAAATAAAATAAATACATATAAAATATTTTGTGATAAATGAAATAACTACATCTTAAACAAAGGTACCTTTTAACTTTTCAACAGTTTATCCAGTGGCACCTCGTGGGAGAGATTTTAAGGTGTTCTGCAATTCTTGCAACAAACTTACCTTAACCAAAAACTATATTAATTTCCTTAATCAATTAATTATTTATTTAATTATTTACTATTATTATGAAATTCTTTGGAAGAATTTTTTAGGTGGTCACTTAGAGTTGTATCTAATTCAGCCAAAAAATTAATTAAGTCGACAAAATATCCCGGGATTTTCGGAAGTTTCGCTCAATTCAAAAGCTTTGCAAAATTTAATACAATTAATAATTTTTGATACAATATTATATATTTCATATAATTATGAAGGTGGCTTTTAAAATTTTCATGCCTTTTGTGACTCCAGTCTCATTTTATCGCCACCAAAAAGTAAACAGGGAAAACAATGTAGAGCGGCTTTTTTTCAATGGTAATATCTCGTTTCCTGTTAATTCTTAAAACTTTTCCATTCAATTTTCAATTATTATGAAGTTTTTAATTTTTTGAGAGCTCTGCTGTACTGCAGCTCATATGTCCTAGCCGCATCTCAATTGGAGGCTATTAAACAAAGTCAAGTGAAATTTTTGGTTTGAGATTATATTACGAAAAGTTTCATAATTGCACTGAACTTTCGCTATATTAAGGGACCATTTCTCCCATGTTATTAGGACATACGACCCAAGAAAGAAGAAAAAAGGACAAAGAAAATGATTAAAGAGAACATTTTAGAGTAAGTAAAAAATTAAACGCGAGAAATGAAGCGTTATCAAAAGCCGCTAATATTTCAGATAAGGTTGATGATAGATCAGATGAAGACAGCCTTGGGTGTGAGGAAAAATATAATATTACGACGATTGGAGCAAAATCCTCAGCAAACTAATCCATAGTACGTGGGACAGTTGGTTCAAATGAGCATTAAAAAGAAATGGTAAGCTGATTTTTTGTCGAAATATCATTTATTGCTTGAAGTTGTATAAGTTTTGTTGTTAAATACACATTGCGCGTATAAGTATCAATTTGGGTTTAAATTCTATTTAAAAGAAACGTGGGTCAACTTTTCCGGACTTTGTTTTTGCACATATCGCACTTAAGAACTGGACACAATTCTAAAATCTTGGATCATGGTTCGATTGTGTTTTTTTTTTGGTTAGGTCCCTGAAAAATGCACTAAAATCTTGTTTTGCTTATTGCTTCAACTTAAAGTCATGGCCAACTTAGACTATCCAACAAAAGAGGGAGAAGAGAGAAGTACTATCAGGGATTTTTAAAAATTTAAGTGGGCAACGAATTCTTATTCCTAACCCAACTATACCATTTTGATAATTTTTTTTGTTGGATAGATCTCTCAAAACGCACTAAAACCTTATGTTTCTTATTACATCAACCCGAAGTCATTGCTAACTGGGACTAATTTTCGATGTCAAATATCGAGAAAGGCTATTAGCGATTTCTTTCCGTGAAGTTCGAATACAGGGTACTCGAAATATCGTATCCTGTAGAATGGTTGTTTATGGCTTTTGGTAATTCTTTTCTTGTTGCATAGATTTCACTGAAAGACACTAAAGATTTTCTTAAAATTAAATATCATTAGAGAGGATTAGATATGAATTAAACAGATTTTAAAAGGCTCTATTTTTTTAATTCATAATATTAATATTAATAATAGTTAATACCAAAATTGATTGACGTCGGCATACTGTTTCCTTTGTAAAACCAAGTTTGCCATGGAGAAGCGAATATTCGACTGTCAAATTCACTCTTTAATTTATATTTTAATTTTGTTTACATTATACCTTTCGAACACTAAGTCTTATTAATGCTGTTGTTTGAAGATGATACTAAGAAATAAGTGTCCCTTAAAAAGTCTTTTTATAATTATTTTTGATATTTGTATAATTAAAATTTGTAAGATTTTAAAATCACATACAAAATAATCGATATTTACAAAGTGTACAATATTTTTTTTAGGAAAAACTTTGGTAGTTGATCTAGTTACTTTTAGATAGTCATGAATACGAATCTGTTGTCATTTTCAATTTGAAAAAATCTCTAAAAGTACTTCACTTTTATTCGCTTCAAGAAACTGTGTCAGTGGTGACTATGGTCGATTCTATATGAAAAATCCGTTTCATTTCTCTATCTTTGTATCCATCAAAAATCAAAATTGAACCATAAATAAACATTCTGCAGGAATAATGCTTAAGCGAGCTTTGTTCGAAAATAGTATAGTTAATAAAATAAAAAAATGAAAGAATACGTTGACACTTTAGTCTTAAAGAAATCTCTAATAGCCCTAGATATTTGACTTCAAAAATTACTCCAAGTTGGCCATGATTTTAGATTGATATAAAAAGAAAAATAGGGTTTTAGTGCTTTTTTGAGAGATCTATCCAACAAAGATTTTAAATGTATACCGTTAAGCTGGGCGAAAACAATATCTCAAATACTCTGTATTGAAACATTATAGATATTGGTATAGTTGGGTTCTAAGTACTCCTGAATAAGAATTCGTTGCAAATTTATTTTTAAAAAAATCCCTAAATCTACTTCTCTCTTCTCTCTCTATTGTTAAATAGTCATAGTTCGCCATAACTTTAAGATGAAGCAATAAGCAAGACAAGGTTTTAAACAAAGATTTCACAAGGATGTACAGTTTTTAAGTGGGACACACTGTATTTCTTGTATTATTATAAATGTTTCGCCATTAGAACAAAAAGACGTTTGACTTGGCCTCTCATATTCTTCATTTTTTACCATTAGCACTCAATTGTTTTGTATTATTTTAATAGTAAAAATGATTTTTTGTTTTGCGCGGTATTATACAATGTAGGTATAAATATAAGATTAAATAATGTTTTAAGGCTGCATAGGTCCCTTTCTTTAGTTCCTTAGAACGCCTAAGAAGCCACACTATGTGATAAGGTTTATTTATTATTCTAGTCGACTATGGTGGCGTGAGCAGCCGATAATGAGAAACCACCCCGTACAAAAATTGTTTGCATTTATTTACCTTATTTCCTAAAGCCGCTTCCTTAGCTAATAATACTGCGAGGCCTCTGACTCTGCGGCCGCTGCCGAGCGATCGTCTCGCTTCCGACGTGCTTTTTGCTTCCGGTCGCGGATGGTCGTGGACTCCTTTAGCTTGGAAAAATATCGCGTACTCGGTATGCCTCCAGAAGTGAGTAACAGGGTAACCGCAGTGTCCCCTGCACGCCAAAATTTCTAATCGCCCCGTACATTGTCGATTCGGACACGGTTTACCTAGAAACAAAATGATAACCGAACTCAATTCGAAGCGTTATTTTCCTGGTCGCAAAAAAATACCACGCACTAAGATTTGTGATTTCAGATTCTCAGAACTTTCATTAATTTTTCTTGGATTGGCGTGTTCAATTTCTTTTTTGAAATATTTTTAAAAATTTATCACCATTTTCCGATTGGAAATGCAAGAAAGTCGGAATATTTAATTTCATGTTGCCTCTTCCAAATCTACTGATATTTTTACGTGTATTTCTTATTTCAATTAATTTTTTTAATCTAATCTAATTCATTTTTTGAATGATGTGATTATAATAAAAAATAATGAAAGAAATATTAATCAAAGGTCAACAAACGGGAAGATTTGTCCTGATAAATCGCAAGACCCTTACGGTATATGTCTTATAGTTTTGAATTCGATCTCGAAATGGTTTGGCATTTGAGAACAGTCATGTCATTCATCACCGCGTATTTTTGCCTCTTCCTTTTTAAGGTTAGTTTTTATTAAATAAACAATTTTTTTTTTATTGTTAGGGGGTGTAAATTGAGCTCGTGAATGAGGACTGCAAATATGCTCGGAGCTTTAATGAAAAAAAAAGCGAAAAATCTTGATTGCCATCCTCATTCTTAGTAAGCTGTCTTATGAAGGTCTTGGTTTCTATATTCTTTCTAACATTTTCTGTTTAGTTTTCTCCACTGAGAAAATAAACAAAATGTTTTTCGGGCTTTATTATCGAACTCTAAACTAAATAATTAATCTAATGTTTCAAATACTTTAAGTTGTGGAGACAGATGTAAGTAACGGTGCCCTATCGCTCTAAAATTCTCTCAAAACAAAGTTGATTTTGTTCATAGTTCTTTTTTATAATTTTAATGAATTCAAACGAGCGAGGGATCTTTCTCAACAAAATGAAGGTTTGGTTTCGATTGATTTATTCAACGGCTGGGTTACTTTATAGTATTAATTAATCGCATTTAAAATTAGTTACCGGAATTCTTATAGCATCTGGACCGCATCTCAACATATAATATAGTATAATATTTAGTACAATATATTTCACACACACAAAATACTTGACAACATTTTAGAACGATAGAGCAACTCTGTTTATGTCCGTGTATATAATTTAATGATTAAATTCTCTGATTCATTGTCGCGATAATTTTCGGGGACGGGGACGACTGTGATCCAGCCGTGTAAGCTGAGTTTTCTAGTAAGTGACCATGGCTTGGCTTAACAGACTGTGATCCAGCCGTGTAAGCTGAGTTTTCTAGTAAGTAACCATGGCTTGGCTTAACACACCCGAAGAAGAAGAAATAAATAAATATTAACTATTAACGAAATAATGGGAGGTTTGTTAATGCTTTTTTATTAATTTTTCTGTATCATCTTTACCTTGTTGTTTTTTTCTAGCTTTATCACAGATGGCTGGCCTTAGATGAACTTTCTCTCCGTTCGGTAACGTACACCTTAAAGAACAGACTAAAACTCCGAGGCAACTTTTTTTTAGAATATGTACATTGTGATTGTTGGTGTTCCGCATTGCCCATCCGGACGAATGCCTTTTTGCCTCCTCATTGTCTGCCCTATAGACGAGCCGGCAATGGCCGTCCGCCCATTCAGAGAATGGATCGTAATCGCTTATCCTCGGCACAGCGCTATCGTTGATATCCCAGTCATTTTGGCTAGCACCGGCGCCGCCACTGGTATAGGCCGCGCGGCACGTCATGCCAGGGGAAGTGGGTGTGTGCCTGGAAATAAAACGTTCCTTATTTGACTTCCCATTTCGCTAGAATTAAAAAATATGAAAACCACAACTTATTTTTCAATTTTTTATTGGTCAGATTTGAATAACTTTTGAGGGATTACTTGGTCAAACATAACATTTTTATTAAAATACAAACGATGTTTAACAAGGACGTTAAACCATAGGGGTCACGTCATAAGTCAATTTAATATAGCTTTCGGTGGAGTCAATCATGTGTCCATACTTGATTCAATAGCACTAAATCGGAAATTGACATGGCGGCGAATGATATTGGTTTTGAAAAATCTTATACCAAAAGTGATATTTTACAAATTTTTCAACCATTTTGTATTATACACTTATGTTTGTGATGTATTGATGAGGAGATATTGGGCAGAAAATATTTCTTTAAGTGGTTGATCAAAAACCTCGTAAGAAATTATGTTAGTGATATTACTCCAAATAACTGGAAACATTCTGTATGTAGGAATCATAATTTAATTAAACCGATTATTTTGTTAAAATGTAAATAAATAGTATTTCGATACTATTTAATTTTTTTAAAGAAACTAATGTTAAATATTAGAAATGACACGTTATATATTTTTCAATTTGTGTTTGTATTATTGCAGAATTATAAAGAAAAATTGGTTTTTATTAATTATTTAAGGGTTTTGTCTGACTCCATCAGTTCATTTCAAATTACTTGCGAAGTTATCTCATTTGTTGGTTAATTTCACAACTCTTGTTTGTTGTAGTGGGGTCTAATCGTCTTAATGCAGACAGTAGTATAGTACACTACAAGGTAGTTCTGCCATCGAAATATTTAACTTAATAACATAATGCTGTTCTTTGTTTGTTTTTGCCTTTTCATCTATCATTATAATAAAATAATTTATTGCATTTATTATTGTATGGTTGCGGAAACACGTATTATTTGGAAATTTTTAAGATATTTGTGGAAGAAAATTATTGTTCTTGCATGGTAATGTCGAATAAAGAGTTACAAGCCACACAATTTCATAAGTTATTCAAGTTTAGAAAAAAAATATCGAAGTAAGACCTCACTAGGACAAAGTGTCTTTATCAAATGTACATTTGATAAACACACGGTGTTGTCGAAACAATTGTCATGTCAAAATATATAATTTTGTGAAAATCTGAACTTTTAGTTCTTAATTATTTTGATAAATTCTTTAATTTTGTTTAAATCTCGACTAAACAAATGGCTGATGAGTCAAGAGAGATCAAGAATTCATTCACTGCTAATGAAAAAATATGGCTAGCTTAAAAAGTACAACAAAAAAAATAAATCCTCGAATGTGTCAAAGTATCTCCAACAATGATAAAAACACATAACCAAGAAAACGTATCCAGAACTAGACTAAACTGTACCTGATCATGGCAAATCAATGGCTAATAAATGTAATAGAATTACATTCCAAAACAAGCTTGTTATTTCAACATAAGTTTATCACTCCTACGCTAGCTTATTAAACTATGTCTTCTGTTTCATTCTCATTTTAGTTTTCATTCAATTTGTTACCGTTCGATTTTTCGTTACATGTACATGTATTGATTTTTCCATATTTAATTACATGTATAATTTAGGTAGGTATTCGTTTTCTTTCATTAACACTTTTTACTTTCCATAATTATATAAGACCTATAAGTTTAATTCTCACCGACAAGAAGTATTTCTTTGGTGTCATTTTTGTCTATTTATCAAATAATCGTAATTATTTTACTCCCACTTCTACTAAATAATCTTTTGTTTTATTTTATTTTTTTGACGTTTATTTTTTTAGTTATGTAGGTATTTACGGGAATTAGTATGAATAGCGTTATATTTCTAGTCGTGATATTGTGGCTTATATTGATTGATAAATAAACTTATTATTATTATTAACAATTTCGTAAGTGGAAGTGGACCTCTCACTTCCATAACCTGGGAAAATTTATTTGGTTCTCGAACTTTTTGTTTACATAATGTGGAAACAATTCGAAAAATATGGTCACAAATTTAACTGTGGTTACTGCGTCAAGAACAGATAAGAACTGAACGAGAACTGCGAAACATTTATATGGACGTAAACGTGAAAAATTGAAACAGGTGAATGATAGATCAAAAATTTACTGCAACACGTAGCAACTTAATTTCGACTTTTCGATAAAACATTGGTCATTGTATTGAAAGGAAAATAGCACTGATTAGGAAATAAGTGGTTATACTTAGAAAAAAAGCATTCTATCGAGTGTAAGGAGAGCCAGCCAATTCGTCATTTATAAATGTTAGGTTATGCTCGTTATCAACGTTTGCGTAATATCATTGGTAGATGATAAGAACTGCTAATGTGCCTATCGTGTCCTAATAGGTTGTAGTAAATACTACGCTATGTAAGTTAGTACCCAGTTTGATATCAGTGTTCGATGTCTTTCTGAAAGTTTAAGGCACGTTCACTATTTGGTATACTATTTATTTTTCAGTTCACGGCTGACTATAAAATTTTTAATATTACATTCGAAAAGTATTTGTCTTTATGAAAAATATCCCACAATTTATTTCATTATTAACTGCTCTGAATATCACCACAAAAACTATTTCTGTTCTTCCTTTTGGCGTGTTAGAACTTTACAAGAATCGATAAATATATTACGCCCGACAATTCAGTGCGACCAAAGTGGTATATATCGTAGACTATGGCTTATCATTCATTGGGCTTTCTCTTAGATCAGATATCGTATAATTAATTCGAGTCTGTAATTACCAGTTTGGCGACATCGTTAATGAATTACGATTGTTTAATAATCGCAAGGCCCCCGGATATCTTCCACGGATGATCGAACATAAGAGATGTTATTTATCGTTCTTTGGAGAGATTTTGATTCTCCGAGATTCCATTGGCGTTTCGCATTTACAATTTACTCCCATTTTTAATAATCAATGAACAATTTTAAATAATTCACATAACCCCAATTGTCGTCTTGGATACCCAAAATATTTGATTCGAAATTATTTTGTAAATCTGCAATTGTGTCAGAAATAAAAAAAAATGTAAAATTATACTGAGTGTCCTATTTGAAAAATTCAAACCGGAATCGACTGAAACGTAAAAAAACATTCAAAATTGTTATTACATATTCTGCTCCTATTATGCCATTTGTCTATACCAAATCTCGTTTTGGTACACCACTGCAGAAGTGATGCGTTATTTGATATATTCGTTGACATTCCGTATAATATTATTTTATTAGACGACTAATAACATCGTGACATACACTAAAAACGTTTCCAAAGTAGTAAATTATTGAATTCTCCCGGACGCCCATGTTGGAAGAATCTCAGCGATCGCAACGCGTGGGATTGACGTTAAATTATCCTTCCTGCTGCAGCAGAATTATACAGCAAAGCCTCCCGAGGCGATTTGCTTATTGATATGGACGGTTTGTTTGAAGGTGTTTATAAGTTGTAAACCACGTGAACGGATTTCACCGTGTCACAAAAATTGACGATCGCGAATGTGTCAGACGTATATTGCTAATTTATCTTTTTCAATCGATGGAGTATTTATTAATTAGGTGGATAATACTGCAGCAATAATCGCGAAAACATTTCTGTTAAATGAACTTTGAAAATTATAAGAAAATGCCAAAATGCTAAAAATAAAATTAATAATTATTTTAAACAGATTCGCAAAATTTGATCTAAAAATATTTGTGTTTGGTTTTAATGGGTAGTGCAAAAGCTGCAAAATAAAATTGAAAATATGAAGTTACCTATTTTGTTTAAATTTATAGAATTAAAATTTTTAGAATCGGAATCACTTTGTACCGGGTTATTTTTTAATTTTTAAAAAGCAATCTTAGAGTAAATAAGTGAAAATAATGATATTGAGACAAATAGTTCGTTCAGTGATAAACAGTAATAAAAAATCCAATTCAATCCAAAAAAGGCTGTTAATATTCATATCCAGGTCCCAAAAGGTAGCTGCAGCGTGGAGCAGCTGATGACTCCAAACGGTTATGGCAAATTTACAATATAAACTCTCATTGAAGTCGTATGAAATTAGGTCGCTCAGGAGAAGCTTGATCGATTCGAAGATCGTTGCTATTTGGTTTATTTTCTCTATATTACCTCGATACCTATCCAATCAATAATTAGATCTTACAACATGATCACTAGAATTATAATAAACAAAATACCCAGATTGACTTTGACATTTTTCATATTGTCTATAATTAGCATTATATTAATTGTAAAATCTTAATCTCAAAAAATATTAAGATTTAATCTAAATCGCTTAGATAAAAATTGTTTTTTTTTGTAAACATTTTCGTGTCATTAAAATTGATCTTTTATTTAGATTGTAACAAGATAGAGAACCAAAACCACGTTTATACCTACGTTTCCAATTATTGATGAATCACCTTGAATATGCAATAAAGGAAAAGCTCAAACTAGAAATCATACACACTCGTAACAAATAATAACAACAAAAAAACAAATTTGTTTAAAAATGAATTATTTGAAGAATCTAGATTATTCTAGTACTAGGAAAACTGCAAAATTTTCTTACATATTCGGTTTTAACAGACTCCACTGGGTGGAGTTTTTAGTTTTGTTGTATTCATTGTATTATTACTACATCTTCTATTATTGCAGCTATTTCTCTTCATCCTTAGTCATTAGAAAATACATTTTATAAATGTTGATTTATTTTAAAATAGAAAAAAAATTGGCAATACGTATATATGCTTTCGAGTGACTGATGTGGTATGATTAGATACTTTCATACGGTATTTGCTGCCGCTAAATTTGAGTGTAGTGTGTTTAATATTAATTTTAATAAAAGCGTAGTTTTAATAATTTGTAATATGCATACACAAAAATATCTTTTCGAAAACCTGGCGTTTTTCCATTCCGCCATACGACTTTAAAGAATTTATTGCCGATCTATCGATATTTCATCGGAGAAATCGACAGCCAATCATGCGACGAACCCCCGCTACATGTGCCTCGTTCACCGCACAAGTCCCAAATATGGGCTTTGTTAATATTAAATGCAAATAAAGAAAATAAGTGGAGTACACCAAATAAAAAAATTAGCTTTAAACTGCACACAATTCCGCACTTTTTCGAATGATCAGACGCGTCAGGGAAATTTTCCAAATGCAAACACAAACGCAACTAATAAATAGCCACGGATATTTTTGGTACCTTCAACATAATTTTTTCCCTCGTATTAATGGATGCGTGTACAATTCAGCTAAATATGACATAGTATTAAATAACAAATACATTAAATAAAAATACTTACAATATTACCATATCTTCAGGCAGCTAGAGTGGTTTTAATGTTTGAAAATCAATACGATAACATCTAAGGGCCTCACAACCGGAGAACAAATCTTGTCTCTATATACGCACAGGCACGGGTTTACGGTCGCGATTTCGCGAGATAATCTCCCGTTAACTGCGAACAACCGCTAACGCCAAAGTTCTAAGGTTAACTGGATTGCTCTAGCCGGTGTTGCTCAAGCCGCCGCGACGCCCGCAATAGACTGACACACCCGCCGATCCCCACCATGGCGATTCTAACACCCGTCTAGCCAATAATGCGCCACGTAACGGTAGACGACGCCTACGTTGTTTTCCGCATCTAACACCTGACCGTTACGTGGCGGACGATTGGGCGAATTTTCAACGTGTGGGGCAGCAGTCGCGGGGGCGGTTTTTTGGTTATACGTTGTCGGTAACCGCCGTCGACGCAAATATTTTTCTATGAACGCGTCGTAAATTTAATGGAAAATCGATCGGTGTTCTAGATTTTTTATTTTCACGTTGCAGTTTTTCGACGTCTATAGTGTAGGATATTAATACACTCAAGAATCCTGAAAAAAAATGTAGGACATAATGTACCGTTTTATACTAACGTCATTTTACTGGGCATTTTAAATTATACTCTAATATTCAACATTATGATTTAAACATTACATATGGACTTTCTTGATAATATCTCTATTCCGTTATAGGAAATATGTCTGACAAATGTTTTTTTTTTTCAGTTTAAATCAACTGATAATGATTTATTATTTTGTTTTAAGAATCCTCGTCGTAGAACCCTCATCCACTTTACATTTTCTTATGATTAACGTTTTATTACCCTTAAAATATTTAAGAATGGAAAATATTTTAATTAGACTGTCTAATTATGCACTGCAGTGTATATGCACCAGCCGCCAGTGTCAAGAGAGCATCTTTGATTTTTTTTAAATAGAGCACCTAAGTCAAAATCAACGGCATTTTTTTTTAATATATGCAGGTATTTTAGGACTTATTAAATATTTTATTACATATGCATTTAAATAAATGATAAATTTTATTGAACTCTTACAGAGCAACATTTTTTTATATTAATATATGTAATAAGTACAATATAAATATACCGGTCCCAATTAATTCGTAGGGTCAGTATTGGCTTAACAGCAACATATATAGCACTTCTAGCGATCAACGCAGGATGCCTTACTGTCTTTATATAAGCATATTCTTGGCAAGTTAGAAGCAAACAGCATCCGTGTTATTCGATCTACAAAGAGCACTTGACTTGGTCGGTGTCGATATTTGCTTTGCTCATATGGTATTAGAGGTAATTGGTTAAGGTCTTTTCTTGGTTGGTACGCATTTGGTCAAATTGCGGGATACCTTAGAATTTGAATACGTCTCTGACTCTAGGTCAGTGAATTGCGATGTACCTCAGAGAAGTTTGCTCGATCCTTTATTGTTTATAGTGTTTATAAAAGATATGTTTTCGTCTTTCCCCCATAGTTATTTCTCCGTTTTTGCGGATGATGCAGTTTCAACCCTTTTTGCAGCATCGTCTGAGCAACTTAGCAACTAACTAACCAAGACAACTGTTGGGCAAATGAAACATTATGCAGAAATTAATAAATTTTTACTAAATGAAAGTAAAACTCAGATGTTCGCCTTTTTGCCTTTTAGAGTTTAATAATAGTACGCTTCATTGGAAGCACAATTCAACAGAGAACTGTTGTAAAATTCTTCGGGGTTTATGTAGACTCGAGACTTCTGGTTGGAACAGGTAGATCACATTCTCGAAAAATTTTCTGTTTATTGCTTTGTCATATGGAGGCTCCGCCATCAGGTTTCTTTTCCTTTGGTAAAAATGTCTATTCCTGTCTAAACTACGCCTTGATTTGTCGGGATAGTTCCCCACGTACGATGCAGAAACGCGTTTTACGGACTCTATTGTTTAAGCCAAATTTTCATGTCCATGTTTGCACAACACTGTTTATTGACACTTCCTAGTAAAAAGCAACTCTAATCTCTATATGCTCTCAAGAATCTCAGATATTCAGTACAATTTAGGACCGAATCTTAACATCTAACAAATACCTAAACACCGACTGTCTCTTACATCAAATAGTTTTGAGCTTAAGAATTTGTAATAAATTGCCTATCGAACTGAAGGAAATCAAACAAAATTCAAATACACTCTTAAAAACAAATTGATCCGCCTCTCCTATTACAATATTAAGGATTTTCTTTCCTGTGATACCTTATAATACGTATTCGTTGTTTGTTATTGTCTATATATTTGTTATTTATCTAAAATTATTAATTATTATTATTATTATTATTATTATTATTATTATTATTATTATTATTATTATTTATTAATTATATTAACATAATTTTAAGTTATTTATATTTGTATTATACTCACAATATCTAACAGTTGTAACTTAAGTCTTATGGAAAGAAAGCTATCTTTATCTTTATCAAAAGTTATGACGACTGTTAAATTAGAAAAAGTTGACAATATCAAAAATTCCTTTTGGGCTGTTCTAGCGTTTCTGTTAGTTTCGGAAATACAAGAAGATTTATAAAAATACTTACACTTTTAAGCATCTAGAAATCGGTTGATTTTAGGAAGAAAATATTAACTTCAATTCTTTCATTTTTTGCTTTCTTTGGGCATTCTGAAAATTTGCTACAAATTTTTGGGTATATTTTTGCAAAATAGCACGATCTCATTTACTGCGTAAAGTGACCGTCATATCTGACAAACATCAAATTACCATCGGTACCTTAAATCTACCGGCATTAGTGTGTTTATCGAAGCTGAAGTTTTAACGTGGCATTTTGAACGCGCCTGGTCAGTGCATGGATATTTTAGAGTGCATTGTAGAAAATATTTCATTATTATACTGCTCAGAGTAGCCGGAAAAAATAAAAATGGTCGCGCAAAGGTCGGAAGCGAAAGAAATGGATTTCTTAAAGAATTGTAAGGGTGTCAAAAGTGCAAAGCGTCACAGCAATAAAATAAGAGAGGGTAAAGCAAAAACTTATATAATAACGGAAGATGGTGGGAGCAAGACTTAAATGGGTTTTCCACAATGACAAATGGTATTAGAACCACAATTAAGGCCAAAGTGCGGAAAGCATCCGAAAGACAGGGTGAAAACGGACTTGGATGATGAAGATGCTATAAATATACTTATTAACAAATGCATGTAAGTAAGTTCCAGAGTTGCGTACTCATTTCGCGAGGAATAATAATCATAATCGATTTTATTCGTGAACAAAATATCTAGTCTAGCGTAAGGCTAGTCACACTGAACTGCTCTAAAATCGAATTAAATCCTATCATACTAAAACCTATTTTATTAAGTACCATAGACATAAACAATACACTACTAACAACGTAACCTTTGTGCTATTTGTACTAAAAGAAATCAATAGTAAATGTATGTATATACTTCATAAAATTGTACTTACGTGTTCAATAAACCATAAGACTCCTATACGCCTATCCGTTTTTTTTATAACCAGCTGTGCAGTGCTTTTGCTTGTATAGTAAGTTAAATTTATTTTTAAAACTTTCTCAAGAGAGAAAGGAGCTTTTTGCCAGATCATATACAAAACAACCCATGTTTATCTATTAAAGTCTGTGTCTTTCAATATTGATAGGGATTGTTGGCTAAGAAACATCCTCTACAGATACACTCATAAGGGTGTTTTTGCGGGGTAAGTTAATCAACCATTAAAATAGCCAAAAATCCTGAATTGAATACGAATATTTACGATGCACCTATTTCCTGCATGGATGAGGAAATATACCGATACCTTTCTGCAAATGTGAAACCCAAAATATAAAACACATTATAGAAGACTACCCTAGAACAAGTTATGACTTCCTGCATGGATAACCCACAATCATTTCGTTTTTAATCCAATGTTTCTCTATTTTGTTTTGTAGAACATCAAATGACAGTATTTGGTCTACCACCTTATGAATGGGATTTTATTCTGACTGTCGAAGACAGAGAGCGCATGTAAACTATGCATATTTAAATTGAGAAACTACTAAAGCTTGGCACAAGTACAGATTGTGTAGATTATAAAAAATAATAAATAATAGAACACGGAACACACAGAAAGCAGATTAGGAAAAAACATCATCCACTATCAGCACCTTTTGTGAGTTTCCAAAAAAATAAGATTTGACAAGAATAAATATAGTTTTACCAGTTGCACTGAGAGAGGGCGATACCAGGGCGGTATGAGTCAGTGAACTGGGTGAAATGAAAGACAAGATTCTGCGATCACTCTGAGCTTTGCCGCAGTGACTTCGGGGCGGCCGCCGCCGTGCGTTTTTGTTTTTTACCGAAACGAAGATGGTAATAATAAAATATGTCACGTCTCGTCGCGGTAGCACGCTCTTGTTTTCATAAATAAACATCAACCGATGTGTATTCGAATTGGAACGACGGCGACGCGACGTTCATCTCTGAGCGTCGTAATTTGTAGAACATCCTTTACCTTGAGTTGGCGCCTCTCTATTGCGGCGGTTCTTCGAAGTGACGTGTGAGCAGGTGCGCGTCTATTCATTCTCAATCCAATTTCCATTTATAGATGTTTGGACGATCAGGCGCCTCGTTTAATAAAAATGGTTAGGCGCAAACTCGTCGCGTCGAGCGCATTTGACAAAGTGTATTGGCTGGCATAATTAAATGCACCTATACGTAGGTATATATTACAAAGTTTATTAATTATCCATTAACATTTTATTAGCACGCTACTCAGTTGAATAGAAACTTTGCAACTTGTATATACTATATACTTGTATATACCTGTCTATTTTTTCCATTTTAAAGTAAACAGTGTATGAATCATGGTGTATAGTGTAAATGAACTTCAGAGTAGTTCTACCGAATCCTTCCTTCTGCGAATTACTCATCGTTATTAATTATCTTCATTCTACATTCACTACGAAGTATGAAAAAAAATTCTGCATTTATTTT